AAGACCCTGATGTTGGGAAAGATGGAGGGCACAAGGAGAAGGGGACGACAGAGGACCGAGATGGTTGGACAGTGTTCTCGAAGCTACCAGCATGAGTTTGACCAAACTGCGGGAGGCAGTGGAAGACAGGAGTGCCTGGCGTGCTCTGGTCCAGGGGGTCACGAAGAGTCAGACACGACTAAACGACTAAACAACAACAACGACAAGGAAAAGCAGGAAATTCTGGGATCAAATCAGAAACCGGGACGGCTTCTGTCAATCTGGGACTGTCCTTGGAAAACAGGGATACTTGAAAAGGGTTGTTGTGAAGATAAAGAAGGAAACCTGTATGTTGATCTGTGTTTGGAGGAAGGAGGGAAAGAAATAGTGAACCTATGCAAAGAACCAGCAGCTCTTTCCACCCGCCCAGTCAGAATATTGGCATGCTTTGCCAATGACAGCGAACTTACAATTGGCATTTGTTCCTCATCGGGAAAGAATGGATCGAAATATTGCACAAGCGTTCCAACAGGGCAAGCCAAGACTGCAGGTTTCCAAACGTGGAACTTTCCTTTCTCCTTGCTGCACTGCGAAAGGGCAGGCCTTGCCTGCCAAAAAATAAAACAACTTAATTAAAAGTTCCAAGAATGCGCCCTTACATCAAGGTGTCATTATCCCCATCATGCAAATGGGGAAACTGAGGGACAGAGGCCTCTTAAGCAACCGCCCCAAATTTCCACAGCATTTCAACGACCCGTAGAGAAGAGTTAAGGCCTAGGAGTCATCCTTTAATTGATCGCGTCAGGATTGTCTACGAGTCAAAACAAAACATACCAGTCTATCATGGCAAGATGTCACCGATAAGCTGTTTGAACCAGGACACTGAGGAGTTCAATGGGAGGTGTTAAGGAAACGACATCGCTCTAGAATTCCAGAACCACCTGCCAACTACTTAAAAAAGAAATTACGTCAAGATCTGCCAGTATCTTTTTTTCCCTTCTATACAGAATGGGAATGCATGAAGAAATATGGTGTTAAAGCAGAACTCTTAATAGGCCATTGTTAAGCGTGTAAGGACAAAAGAAGTAATTATAATTTAACAGTTTTCATGTTATTCTATTTTCTTAAAGAAACTAGAAAAAAATATTATGATGGGAAGATCTCACACAGGTCAAGGGAAGCAGTGGGGAGGAGGGGAGGGTTAGGTTGAATTTGGGAAATAAAATAATATATGGGACAGCAAAGGATATAATAGATTCTTATAGAATAGTAATGTACTGTAACCAGAATAGAAGTTCAAAGGGAAGTAAATGTATTTTTTTAGTATTTTCATTATTGTAATAGTTATTATTATTTCTTATAGGTAGAAGGCAATGTTAATTCAGGCTTCTTCGTTTTGCTGTTTGTATAATTTTCTTAAGTCAATTAAAAAAAAGATCTTCCAGTATCTAAAGGGCTGTCACCTGGAGGATGGAGAAAGCTTGGTTTCTGCTGCTCCAGAGGTTAGGACTTGAGACCAGGGATTTATGTTTCAAGAAAGGAGATTCTGAATGAACATCAGGAAGAACATTAAGAGCTGATGGACTCTCCTTCCTTGGGTGTGGCAGCTAGACTGGTGACTGGGAGCGGCCGCAGAGACCACTTTACCAACTGCACTGGCTCCCAGTGGAGTACAGGGTCAGGTTTAAGGTGCTGGTTTTGACCTTTAAAGCCCTATGCGGCCTAGGACCCACGTCCCTACGGGACCGCCTCTCCTGGTATGTCCCACGGAGGGCCTTAAGGTCCACAAATGACAACACTTTGGAGGTCCCAAGTCGCAAGGTGGTTAGATTGGTCTCAACTAGAGCCAGGGCCTTTTCAGCACTGGCCCCGACTTGGTGGAATGCTCTGTCGCAAGAGACCAGGTCCTTGCGGGACTTGACATCTTTCCGCAGGGCCTTTGGTTTGGACTCAGTCTGATCCTTATGTTTCCCTCCACTTATGGTTTTGATCTATGGGCTACTTTTAAAACGAGGCTGCATTTTAAATTGCATTTTAACCTGTATTTTAAATTGGTCCCCCCCCCCATTATGTTTGTACTGTAATTTTACTGGTGTTAGCCGCCCTGAGTCCTGCTCTGGCCAGGGAGGGCGCGGTATAAATAAAATTTATTGTTATTGTTATTATTACTACTACTACTACTACTACTACCACTACTACTACTACACTGGTCCTGAAAGACCTACACTGACTCCCAGTATGTTTCCGAGCACAATTCAAAGTGTTGGTGCTGACTTTCAGAGCCCTAAATGGCCTCGGCCCAGTAGACCTGAAGGAGCTTCTCCACCCCCATCGTTCAGCCCGGACACCGAGGTCCAGCTCCGAGGGCCTTCTGGCGGGTCCCTCACTGTGAGAACTGAGGTTACAGGGAACCAGAGGGAGGGCCTTCTCGGTAGTGGCACCCTCCCTGTGTCACCTCCCACCAGATGTCAAGGAAATAAACAACTATCTGACTTTTAGAAGACATCTGAAGGCAGCCCTGTTTAGGGAAATTTTTAATGACAGACGTTTTAATGTATTTTGAATCTTTTGTTGGAAGCCACCCAGAGTGGCTGGGGAAACCCAGTCAGATGAGCGTGGTATAAATAATAAATTATATTATTATTATTATTATTATTATTATTGGAGTTTTTTAAGGAGAGGTTGGATGGCCATCTGTCACGTATGATCTAGTTGGGATTCCTGCATTGCAGGAGGTTGGACTAGATGGCTCTCAGGGTCCCTTCCAACTCTCGGACTCTAGTCTGAAAGTCCTGAAATACTAAATTATATGATGAGCAGTTAGTTCAGAGGGGTGGGAATCTCAGGCGCAGAGGCTGGATGTGGCTCCCTAGGTCTCTCTATCAGGCCCTTGGAAGTCCTCCAGGTCACATGCCCTCTTCCCCAGGCCACTCTCTCTTCAGTGGCCCATCTTCACCCCACAAATGATTTTGTCCAGCTGGCAACGCTGATAATGCCTCTCTGTATGTCCAAACAGAGGAAAGAGGATGCTGTAAAGATGGGGGAAATGACATACAAGCTCCGCCCATATTTTGCCTTAAAGGTAAAGGGACCCCTGACCATTAGGTCCAGTCGTGACTGACTCTGGGGTTGCGGCGCTCATCTCGCTTTATTGGCCGAGGGAGCCGGTGTACAGCTTCCAGGTCATGTGGCCAGCATAAATAAGCCGCTTCTGCCGAACCAGAGCAGTGCACGGAAATGCCATTTACCTTCCTGCCGGAGCGGTACCTATTTATCTACTTGCATTTTGACGTGCTTTAGAACTACTAGGTTGGCAGGAGCTGGGACCGAGCAACGGGAGCTCACCCCGTCGCGGGGATTTGAACCGCCGACCTTCTGATCGGCAAGTCTTAGGCTCTGTGGTTTAACCCACAGCGCCACCCGCGTCCCATATTTTGCCTTACCTTTACCTTTAAGAATGAAGCAGAGGTTTGGGAGAACGACTGGCTCAACCCTTTCTGGTTCTTATCCAATCAGGGTAGTCATTTCAGTTTATGCAGCAGTTCAGTTTCCCAAACAAATTCCCCCATACAATTCTTGAGAGAAGTCAGAGACGCTCTTGCAGGCAACACTGCGACTTTCAGACGGGCGCCGAGCAGCAAAACGGAAGCAGGGCCTTCTCTGTGTGGGTGCTCTGCCACCGAGCTGGATTCGGAGGAAATTCCTTCTGGCCAAACACTTTTTACTCAAGAAAGTGTATCGCAAATTTTGCAGCGGCGCTTAGGGACTGTGCAGCTCAGACCTTGCGCAACCTGGACCCTCCGCATGTTTGCTTATTCTATGGGTAGGCAAACTAAGGCCCGGGGGCCGGATCCGGCCCAATCGCCTTCTAAATCTGCCCAGGAAATCAGTGTTTTTACATGAGTAGAATGTGCCCTTTTATTTAAAAATGCATCTCTGGGTTATTTGAGGGGCATAGGAATTTGTTCCATTCCCCCCCCCCCAAAAAAATTTAGTCCGGTCCCCAACAAAGTCTGAGGGACAGTGGACCAGCCCCCTGCGGAAAAAGTTTGCTGAACCCTGGTTATTCACTTCAACAATTTATATGCCATTTAACTCTGTTGCCTCTAAGCGGCGTATGGGGGACTCTCCACTTACACATGGTCAGCACATAGATGACTGCAGGCGCATGTGCCGTTTTGGGCACTGAAAGGGAGCAGGGGAGGAACAGACTTGTGAGTGTCCCACTGACGCACGGGGTGGCCAGGAACAGAGCCCCCGCATTAAGGGGCAGGATCTCCCTGTACCATAAAAAGAGAAGAATTAAAGATAAATTCAGCTAAAACTAACTGCAAAACCAGAAGGGAAAGAACACTGGTCTTGAAATGCCTGCCGAGATATAAAGCTCTTCGCTAGGCACCAGAATTATGAGAATTTTGAATTATGGTGCTGGAGGAGACTCTTGAGAGTCCCATGGATTGCAAGAAGATCAAACCGATCCATTCTGAAGGAAATCAGCCCTGAGTGCTTACTGGAAGGACAGATCCTGAAGCTGAGGCTCCAATACTTTGGCCACCTCATGAGAAGAGAAGACTCCCTGGGAAAGACCCTGATGTTGGGAAAGATGGAGGGCACAAGGAGAAGGGGACGACAGAGGACAAGATGGTTGGATAGTGTTCTCGAAGCTACCAGCATGAGTTTGACCAAACTGCGGGAGGCAGTGGAAGATAGGAGTGCCTGGCGTGCTCTGGTCCATGGGGTCACAAAGAGTTGGACACAACTAAACAACAACAGGCGCCAGAAGGGGAACTGGTACAATATCAGCACAGCATTGGACACAGTCCCTGGTGAATATGAGTAGTACGCCCAAGGCACAGGGGACCACTAATAGTGGTTCGTCTCCCAGCTGCCACTGACCGCAGCCAGCCTAGCAAATGGTCAGGGAAGATGGGAGTCGGAGCCCAACGAATTCTGGAAGGCACCATGTTTGAGGAACGGCTGGCATCTCTCTTGCAACCTTCACAGTGTGTTGCTTCTTATTCCGCCCAAACGCTTCTCGCAGACGAACAGACACTCGGTGAAAGTTTAATTTTGTTCGTTCTAGTTATGGCCAAAGACAAGACAATTCTCTTCCCTCCCCGAAAACAGTCAGTGAGTCCTACAATGCAAAGTGCTCTGCGGATTTAAAAACAATGCAATAATACAAAACTATCCTCAGTTTCAAATGTCTTCGGTGCGAAGTTTACCATAGTATTATCCAATGCTAAAAAAGGGGATGGGGAGAGCGTTGTCTCTGTATTTTTCCAGACAACACTGCAGTTTTGTCGTCAGGGCAGCAGGGCACGGATTTGTAAAAACGAGCGACGGCGGCAACTTCGGGAAAGGCTACAAAACGCACGAGTGCGAAAACCGTGGGAAGGGGATGACGTCTTTGATGTTCTCAACGCCCAAGATGCAGCGCAGGTAGCGCTCAAATCCCATTCCAAATCCACCATGAGGGGTTGATCCGAATCGACGCAGGTCTATGTACCTGGAATGCAAGGCGGCAGATCAGTTGCGTTTACCAATACTTGGTTTATTCAGGCGGCCTCTATTTAGGTCCCAGGAACTGAGGAAGTTGTCTTATTCGGTGTCAAATTGGTCCGTCTAGCTCAGCACGGTTTGCCCTGACCGGGAGCTGCTCTCCAGGGTTGCCTCCCAGTCATACCTGGAGATGTTAGAAATTGAGCTCATGGTTGTCTACAATGACTGACAGCAGCTGTCTGGGCTTTCAAATAGGGGAGATTCTCAGCCCCGTCTGAAGATGTCAAATGCAGTTACTGACAAAGACAAGCAACCACCTTCCCCCTCTAAAATTGTCCCAAAGGTTTGTTTCTGCCCAACTTCCTTACTTTAAGAAAGATGTAGAATGGTAAAGGTATAGGACCCCTGGACAGTGGAGTCCAGCCAAAGGCGACTATGGGGTTGCAGCGCTCATCTCGCTTTCAGGCTGAGGGAGCCAGCGTTTGTCCACAGGCAGCTTTCCAGGTCATGTGGCCAGCAGGACTAAACCGCTTCTGGTGCAACAGGACACCGTGATGGAAACCGGAGCTCACAGAAATGCTGTTTACCTTCCTGCCATAGCAGTACCTATTTATCTACTTGCACTGGTGTGCTTTTGAACTGCTAGGTTGGCCGGAGCTGGGACAGAGCAATGAGAGCTCACCCCGTTGCGGGGATTCGAACCGCCGACCTTCTGATCGGCAAGCCCAAGAGGCTCAGTTGTTTAGACCACAGCGCCACCCACTGAGGGAGAATGACAGCTCTGTCACTCACTTTGTCAGGCAGGTCAGGGGGTGCCAGGGGGAGGAACGCAGAAGAACATCATTCAACAGTGGAACAGTCTCCATCGGGAGGTTGTGGACTCTATTTCCTTGGAGGTTTTTAATAAGCAGAGGTTGGATGCTTTAGTTGAGATTCCTACATTTCAGGGGGTTAGACTAGAGGACCCTCAGAGACCCTTCCAATTTTACAGTTCTATGGTCCTATGTCCCAACTAATGCATTTAGCAGGTGTGATGGGCCATTGCAAAACTGTGCTCCACCACAAGACTGAAAAAGGATTTGTTCTCCCCTCCAGCAGTTGGTGGGGACGCGGGTGGCACTGTGGTCTAAACCACAGAGCCTAGGACTTGCCGATCAGAAGGTCAGTGGTTCGAATCCCCGTGATGGGGTGAACTTCCGTTGCTCAGTCCCAGCTCCTGCAGTTCGAAAGCACGTCAAAGTGCAAGTAGATAAATAGGTACCACTCCAGAGGGAAGGTAAACGGCGTTTCCATGCACTGCTCTGGTTTGTAAGAAGTGGCTTAGTCATGCTGGCCACATGACCTGGAAGCTGTCTGCGGACAAACGCTGGCTCCCTCGGCCTTTGGACGAGATGAGCGTGCAACCCCAGAGTCGTCTGCGACTGGACCTAATGGTCAGAGGTACCTTTACCTTTTTACCAGCAGTTGGTGGTTGCAAAGGTTTGGAATCATGGAACTGCAGTATAAGAAGGGACCCCAAGGGTCATCCAGCCCACCCCCTGCAATGCAGGAATCACAGCTCAAAAACCTCAGACAGGTGTGCCACCCAAAGGAGGAGGATCGGATCCACCTGGGCAACGCTATGAACACAGCCGTAGACCAACAAACAATACCTGGCCGTCCTTACCATTGGTAGGTGTCTTCAAGCCCCAGCCTGTGGAACCAAGGGGAAAACATCATGAAAGCAACCTACAAAAGGCCTTGTATTATGGAAAACTGCTTTTGTGAAAATGTGCGTATCAGTCAGAAAGAAACGATAGTGGACACAGGAGATTTTCATAGGTTGGCGTTAAGATGAATAGAAAAGCAAGCACTTAAGACAACAAGGTGATGCACGGCTGTGAATTTCTGTCCCCCTCCCCAGCCCAAACACATTTGTGAGAAAGGGGCTACAACAGTATTTTTTTTTTTTTGCATTTCTGCGTATTGGACAGATTGCACCAACGAGTCTGGCATGTCAAGGAACGCATCCCCTAAGAAGCATCTGTTCTGTCTGAACAAGCGGCCGGCCTCTCCCCTTTAATCGCTGGCGTCCTCAACAGACCCTCCTTGACCAACTGTCCAACAGCTCCCCACAGTAAGCCAGAAGCAGAAATCCTCTCCCTGACCTCTGTAGGCGGGACTGTAGGAAATCAGGTCGGTCTTCCCTCAGGCTGCCTCCGCAAAGTTCCCCGACTGCTGGTACAAGGAGGTCAACTGCCGACACCTTGAAAGGAAAGGGGAATAAAGGAATAAATCTCTCTCTGAATCGCGTATCTAAGATGGCGTTAGCCAGTGCGTATTTTAATGCCGAAACAGGACCGTTTTATTGTGCTTTTTAATTATGAGTATTTAAGTTTTAAAGTCGTGCAATCAGGTTTTGGACGCTGTAAATCACTGACAAACCCAGTTTGTCTTTGTGTATGTATGATTATGTATGTACTTATAATTAATCACTTGCATTAGTTAGTCCCTTTATACAAAAAAGAGTCTCAAAGTGACTTAGCAACAAGATTAAAATGCAAAACAGGTGAAATCAATTAAAAGCCAATTAAAGCAAAACAAAACCCAACGGCAGCGAACAATGTGAATTCCTAAAATGCTCACCCTTTGCATTGAATAGCTGGATAAATCCTGTTCCACCCTACTAAAGCATGACAATGTGGTGCTGTTCGGATGCTGCTGACTGACAGCTCCCATCACCCCTGACCTTTGGCCGTGCTGGCAAAGGCTGATGGGAGTTGCAGTCCAAAAACACTGGCTACCCCTGGCCTAAGTAGTAAGCAGGGATACTAAATCACAGTAATTACACAGCAAACAGAAGCTTTGGGAGTTCTGCGTGGTGCCCTAGGCAATGCTTTCCTTTCCTGGGAGATCATGGGTTGCAGCCAACGTTAGTCCTACTCAAGAGTAGACCCACTGGGATTAATGGACATGACCAATTTAGGTACATTTGTTTCAACGGGTCTGTTTCGAGTTGGGCACTGTATTAATCTTCACCCACCACACACAAACATTCCCCCAAGATTAGGGGCATCAGAAAGAAGAGCTGGACTGGACTGCTTCATTCCAGAAACTATATGAAGAAAGCCAGATGCAAAAGGGCAATATCCTGCACTGCCTAGGCCCTAGGCATTTTGACTTGGAACTCTTACCGTATGTTGGGGTCCATCTTCGTTGTCCCGCATATAGAACGGCTTCAGGTCATAGGGATAGTTGAACACAAATACGGGAATCTCGCCACAGTGTTGGACCAGGTATCGCTCATGCTCAGTCTGAAGATCACGACCCCACTGGAAAAAAAAGTGGAAAACAAAAATATTAATACTCAGGCCTCGGTATTCATTTAGTTTTTCGAAGAAACCCTCCCTCACAAACACACACACACGGCAACACTCACCTCTGGTTTGTAAACGAATTCTTGGTGAGCCCGCTTTAAAACCTCTATCGCTTCCGTGTAGGACATCCTGGAAGGTGGGAGAGAACCTGTTAAGAACTTGGGCTGATTCATTCTGGGCACACATTTATTTGTAGTCTGCCTTTTAGGACAGGGGCAGGGAAACTCCTTGCTGCAAGGCTCAGGGCCTCAGCGTGCCTTCCATCAGCTTCAGCTGGTGGCCCAGCTACGCCCCATTGGGACAGAGATAGTCCCTAACTACTGCGGTCTACGCTCTGGTAACTTCAAGGTTAGATTACTGCACTGCATTCTACGTAGGGCTGCTTCGGAAACTTCAGCTGGTGCAGAATTCAGCAGCCAGGTTGCTCAACAGAGCAAGACGGTTTGAGCATACTACACCGATCCTGGTCTGATTGCACTGGCTACCAATTAGTTTCCGGGCCCAATTCAAAGTGCTGGTTTTGACCTATAAAGCCTTAAACGGCTCAGGACCATAATACCTCAAGGACTCTCTCTTTCCATATGAAACCTACCCAGACCCTGAGATCATCTTGAGGCCCTCATTTGTGTGCCACCTCCTTGAGAGGTCTGGAGGGTGGCAACACGAGAACAGGGCCTTCTCTGCAGTGGCTCCCCATCTATAGAATCCTCTCCCCTGTGAAGTTCACCTGGTGCCTTCATTATACACCTTCAGGCACCAGGCAAAAATGTTCCTTTTTAACCGGGCCTTTGGTTGATCCGACTTACATCCTATGCCCTTTTAAAATGTGTTTTTTTTGTGTGTGGTTGGGGGCTATTGGGTTGTTGTTTTTATGTTTATTAGGTATTTTGTGGTTTTATATTTTCATTTTATTCAGTGAACCGCCCCCGAGACCCCTGGGTATAGGGTGGTATATAAATTCAATCAATCAATCAATCAATCAATCAATCAACTTTACTCTTTACCCAGGCCTTTGGCCATTAAATAGTCCATTGCTTGTGAAAATGTGTTTGTGTGTGGGATTGTTATTATGATGATTAAGCACTGTATTATGTTTTTATTGTTATGCTGTGTAAATTATGTTTTTATTGTTGTACACTGCCCTGCAACAACAACAATAATAATAATAATAGGGGTGGGGCATGCTACTTTCTGTGCTGTTTGAAAGCGAGGCTGCTTAAAAGCCCTTTTGCAAACAGCTCCACACTGCTCTCTGAACCTCTGGTTGCAAAAGTGATTTCAAACAGCTCAGACAGTGCTTGGGCCCACCTGCCAAATTTGGCCCGTCAGGGGTGGGGAGATAAAAGACCTGGCCTGCTGGTGAGAAAAGGTTCCCACACCCCTGTTTCAGAACAGGTGATCCCCTAACATTTGGGGAGGGAACACAGATCAGTTACTTTACATGTGGAAGCTCAAAGATTCCACCTCCGGCACCTTTAGTTAAAAGGAGCAAGAAACAGGGAATGGGGGGAAAAACCTCCCTCTCAAAACCCTGAGGAGCTGCTTTCGGTCAAAACAGGGAATGCTGCACTAGCAATAATAATAATTAAAATAATAATAATATAATTCATTATTTATACCCCGCCCATCTGGCTGAGTTTCCCCAGCCACTCTGGGCGGCTCCCAATCGAGTGTTAAAAACAATACAGCATTAAATATTAAAAACTTCCCTAAACAGGGCTGCCTTCAGATGTCTTTTAAAGATAAGATAGCTGCTTATTTCCTGATGGGAGGGCGTTCCACAGGGCGGGCGCCACCACCGAGAAGGCCCTCTGTCTGGTTCCCTGTAACCTCACTTCTCGCAGAGAGGGAACCGCCAGAAGGCCCTCGGAGCTGGACCTCAGTGTCCAGGCTGAACGATGGGGGTGGAGACGCCCCTTCAGGTATAGAGGACCAAGGCCGTTTAGGGTCTCGACAAGAAAGGAGTATAGCTCATTGGAAGAGCAGCTGCTTTTCCAGCTTTATTTCATCATCATCATCATCAAGATGAGGCAGAAGGCCCCAGCTTCATTTCGCAGTGGCTAAGTGGACTAGGATTTCTTGACAGCTAAGAGCAGTGCATGTTAAATTCTGCCGCCCTGGGAAGACTGGAGCATTGCTCTGCGGGAAGCCACAAACAGGCAGTTTGGAAAAAGAAGAAACCCACAGCCAACTGAGCCAAATACGACACACTTAAAATGAAAGCAGCATGGTCTGCGGGCTTGATGTCATAGCCAGAGCACATTTCGGGCCGGAGGAATGATTACCCTTCATTTCTGCACTTGTCGGCACAGAGAATGCGTCTCTTACAGCTTACGACATAATACACGCAAGGGCTTACGATGAATTCCTGGCAGCTTTTTAATTCATTTATTTTTTTAAAGAAAAATCACTCGGGTGATACAATTTCAACTGGAAAAGTGATGGGAGGGTTGGTGGCACTTAAACAGCCCCCCCCCCCGCCCAGCTGCTATTTCTCTGCTCTAAATCATCCTATTCTGAGGCAGAAACAAAATAAAAAAATTCCTTCCAGTAGCACCATAGAGACCAGCTAAATTTGTTATTGGTATGAGCTTTCGTGTGCATGCACACTTCTTCAGATACAGTGGTACCTCGGGTTAAGAACTTAATTTGTTCTGGAGGTCCGTTCTTAACCTGAAACTGTTCTTAACCTGAAGTACCACTTTAGCTAATGGGGCCTTCCACTGCCACCGCCACACAATTTCTGTTCTCATGCTGAAGCAAAGTTCTTAACCTGAGGTACTATTTCGGGGTTAGTGGAGACTGTAACCTGAAGCATCTGTAACCCGAGGTACCACTGTTCACTGAAACAGAAGTCACCAGACCCTTCTATATAGTGAGAGGATGCGAACCAGTACAGTGGACGCTCGGGTTGCGAACGTGATCCGTGCGGGATGCATGTTCGCAACCTGCGTCTGCGCACATGCGGGTTGCGATTCGGCGCTTCTGTGCACACGTGATAGCCGAAACCTGGAAGTAACCCATTCCAGTACTTCTGGGTTTCGGCAGTCCGCAACCCGAAAAAACGCAACCTGAAGCAGATGCAACATGAGATATGACTGTAATACCCTATACCAGCAATACAGTATATATAAGGGTTTGGTGACTTCTGTTTCAGTGTATCTGAAGAAGTGTGCATGCGCACAAAGGCTCATACCAATAACAAATTTAGTTGGTCTCTAAGGTGCTACTGGAAGGAATTTTTTTATTTTGTTTCGACTACGGCAGACCAACACAGCTACCTACCTGTAACTAGAATTCTGAGGCAGGTTTGTCTTGAGGGATGCTGTTAAATGTTTACCACCTCCAGATGTTCAACTACAACTCCCATCATTCCTGATCACTAGGTCATGCTTGCTGATGGGAGATGGAATACAAGAATATTTGAAGGGATGCAGGCTACCCCCCCATACCTGAGATAGGCCCTTTTTAATCCCCGCAAAGGTTTTGCGATGCCCTGACACACAGCTCACTGTGGGGTGAAATGGAACGTATCACTGAAGAATTCCTTCCCCTTCAGGAAAACTTCAATACTGAATGGATTGAATCTGTCATATATGCTTTAGCTGAGATTCCTGTATCTCAAGTGGTTGGACCAATTCTACGAAAAAAAGACTAGGGGTGTTGTGCATCCACCCCAGTAATGGCAGGAGGATTAATAATTTTTATTTTATTTATTAAATTTGCAGCTGCTGAAGATCACAGGGTGGTCCACACCATCAACGTGAAAACTCAAAATACATAATAGAACAAAAGCAAAATAACAACCCAGCTGCCACAAAAAAAACCCAACAACTTTAAAGGCCACAGAATGTTGATTGGCCAAATTGCCTGGTTGAAGAGAAACGCCTAAATATATGCTCCTGGGGGAGAGGCTTCCAAAAATGGGGAGCCACCACAGAAAAGGCCTGTTCCTTATGTTGTTGTCCGCTAGACCTCTCAAGGGGGAAGCTGTGGGTTGTGGGGCTGCATGGGGGGGAAGCTGTGGGTTGTGGGCCCATGCCTCCATGTGTTCAGTGAGCATAAGAAAGGCTGGATACCTACAGGTGAAACTCGGAAAATTAGAATATCGTGGAAAAGTTCGTTTATTTCAGTAATTCAACTTAAAAGGTGAAACTAATATATGAGGCAGACTCATGACATGAAAAGCGAGGTACGTCAAGCCTTTATTTGTTATAATTGTGATGATTACGGCGCACAGCTGATGAAAACCCCAAATTAACAATCTCAGAAAATTAGAATATTAATTGAAATCAGCAAAACAAGGATTGGCCTTTTCCACGATTGTCAGGGAACTGCCATCAGTTCAGGGGCGAGAGGGGAAAAGGTGGATGGATTACAGGGAACCCCCAAAGATCGTGGGAAACAGCACTTCCTCAGCGGAGGAAGCAAGCCACGCCTCTAGTGGGGAGGAGATGCAGGGCTCGGAGGATGCAAGGCGGTGCCAGGGTACCTTGCCTGAGCAAAGCGGGGAGGAGGGAGGTCCTCCTTTACCCAAGCCTTCCTTGCGCAGTAGGCTTTCGCGCAGAGAGGGGAGGCACAGACTGGGGGTCAAGAGACTACTCTGCTGGGGAAGATTTAAGGACCGCCCACTCTTAGATTCGGCCAGTGAATGAGCAGGACATGGAATAGAGGCGCTCTGCGTTGTAAAGGTTTTTTTTTGCACCAATAAGAAAGCTTTAGAACAGACTAGTGAGGCATCTTGCCTGACTGCTCTCGAGCAACCACCCAATACCCTAACAACGATATTCTAATTTTTCAAGTTTCACCTGTATGTATGCCTATACAGAGCTCTACCATGTGATGACACCCCCGTCCCAGGACTAGCATAGGAACTCTTAAGCACCCTTAAAAAACTAGTTCCCAGGATTCTTGGGACATGCTACTGCTTGAAATGTACCGTGCAGGAGGGACCCTGCCATTCATTGTGATATAACGGAAAAAAGCTGGGAAACTTCAGCTGTAGCCGACAACAAACAAGAACGCCGATGTATTTTTTGCTTACGTTATGAACCGGTTCTTCAGCATCCGTTCCACCTTTGCCTTCGGGAGAGGAAGAAACAATTCACAAAGGCTACCAGAAGAAGAGTTCAGAAACCACCACCGAGTTTACATTTGCGTTTTTCGGAAAGGATTTCAGAACGGAATCGAGGATTTGCATATCGAATCTAAGCAGGAGATTGGTTTCCATTTCTGGCCTTACCGAAACCAGAGTCAAGGCTACCCGGGTATTTTGTTCCACAGGAAAAGCTGAATTGTGCTGTTTCAACCAACGCACAAGGCGAGGATGGTGGCTTCATTTTGCATTGGGATGGTCTGCTGGCTGCATGAAGGAGCTAGGCAGAGAACCCACAGTAAAACAATCTGGGCCGGGTCATTACCTGGTCCATCCAATCCAATAATAATAATAATAATAATAATAATAATAATAATAAAATTATTTAGACCCCGCCCTTCTGGCTGGGCCTCCCCAGCCACTCTGGGTGGCTCCCAACAGAATATTAAAAACACAATCAAACATTAAAAATTTCCCTAAACAGGGCTGCCTGCAGATGTCTTCTAAAAGTCAGATTGTTGTTTGTTTCCTTGACATTGGATGGGAGGGCAGGCGCCACCACCAAGAAGGCCCTCTGCCTGGTTCCCTGTAACCTCACTTCTCGCAGAGAGGGAACCGCCAGAAGGCCCTCGGCGCTGGATCTCAGTGTTCGGGCTGAATGATGGGGGTGGAGACACTCCTTCAGGCTCATAGGAAGTCCACAACCAAGACATGAAAGCCATAACAGAACCTAAGAGGTTTGCTTTAGTCACCATGTCTCTCTTTTAAGGTAATAGAAATCTTTTCTCTCCCTTACCTCTTGACCAGGAGCTACGTGTTTATGAAAAAGCTCAACATCGCGAGGGCAACTGGACAGAACTGTGTCGGTCACTTTCTTGAAAAGGTCCTCCATAGCCTAAGGAAAAGTGAGGGAGCCACAGATGCACAGAGTTACGTGCAAGAATGCAATACTTCTTAAATTTATTCCACGCTTTGGGTGGCTTCAACTCTCCACATACGGACGCAACATTACACCATGGTTCAGGAAAACATGAACATTCCCAGCTGGACTAGTTTGGCAGCCTTTTGGTTTTCCTTAACCACAGTTTATCACCTTGCCTGGAGTGAGAAAACTGTTTTAGCGTTAGGTATTTTTAGCTATGTTTTTGTATTCAACTTTTCTGGCTTAAGTGCGATTATTAAAAGAAATATTTGTTTAAAAAATAAGAGAAGGTGGCGAAAGTTGGCCTCTTCTGAACCCCAGCTCACCCAGAGAGTGGAAAAAACTAATTTTGTGCTTCACGCCACCCACTTTTTTCCCCCAAGCAAGAGAAAGTTGCTTCTTCTGCACGCTGTGGGAACTTTAAAACTGTTAGTTCATGGCGAAGAGGTGGGGGCACGAAAGCCAAGACCGTGTTTTCCTTTCTTTGAAAGAGGAAGTGCTCTAATGCGTCACAGAGCTTCTGCCAGAGTAAAACCTACACAGCAGGTCATTTCAACAGTCTTTATACTGCTGTTTGAAGCCACTTTTTTCTCTTTTTTTAAAAAGGAAATTGTGGTGATGATATATTTATTTATACACAGCATTTCCCCCTTAAAGCAATGGTTCCCAATTAGCTAATTACGGAGGAGCCCTTTTTTCTCTCTCCAAAAGCCAAGTCACGGACGCCCTACTTTTGAAAATTTTGGCAACTCTGTTAGTTACTTCTGCAAAGCAATTTTTTGAACAAAACGTGGGGTAGCCCCTAATAAGCAAATGATTTTAGGCATACTAAAAAACAGACCATAAAATTTGTTATTGTTGTTGTTTAGTCGTTTCCGACTCTTTGTGACCCCATGGACCAGAGCATGCCAGGCACTCCTGTCTTCCACTGCCTCCCGCAGTTTGGTCAAACTCATGCTGGTAGCTTCGAGAACACTGTCCAACCATCTCGTCCTCTGTCGTCTCCTTCTCCTTGTGCCCTCAATCTATATTATCGCCCGGCACAGGGACATCAGGGCAGCTTTAAAAAAAAGTGGCCCATGCTGGCTGCTTTGGGAGAAATAGCGCTGAACTCTTTTCGCAGGAGACACAAAGAATGTAATAAAACACTTAGCAGGACGGAAAAAAACACCGCCTGTTGTACAATTGTCAGTAGGTTTGTGGAAAGTTAGCCGGAAGTGGAAGATCTGATGGTTCGTTCATTCAGATTTCCGGTCAATCCTTTTTAAGACAGCTGCGGGTCTCTGGGTGTTGCTGAACTACAACTCCCATCATCCTTGACCATTGGCTACACTTGCTGGGGCTGATGGGAGTTGTAATTCAGCAAAGAGCCAAAGATTCCCCCACGACTGCTGCAAAGGTAGGACAGGCAGCAGGTTTGAAACCACACATAAAATACCAGTTTGTTTTGTTTTGTTTTGAAAGAGCTCCGTTTTCCACGCTCCCCGTAACTCGCTCCATACCTGCATGATATCCTGAAGGCTTTCAGCAAAAGACAGCTCTGCTTCCACCATGTAAAACTCTGCCAAGTGCCTGCGGCTTTGAGAATCGTCAGCCCGGAAAGTCGGACCAAATGTGTACACCTTGGAAAATGCCCTGCAACGAGACGGTGGGAAAGTCACGCCCACAAAACACACAGGCTGTGATCAGCACCTACTGGCTAGAGCCTGTGCCGTCACCAATACGCTTCCCCCCAGAATCCCTGGATCACATTTTCATAAAAATAAGCATTTTCTCTGTTTGGGACCCCACAACTGAATCGGATGAGGCTGTCTTATATCTCAGTTCTGCCCACATGCCTGATTCACCCAATACTTTCTACTGTTCAAGGATGATACAGGTCAATGAGAAGCAGATTTTTTTTGGGGGGGGGACATGCAGGGGGCTGGAAGAGATAGGAGAGACTCCACTGGGCAACTGGACATCTGCTCATGTTATGCTGGATCTCACCCAAAGAGAGTCACACGTTCAGGGGGGCCGTGCCCCGTTTTGCTGCTTGAGGTAAAATGGGAAGTTCCACCTCTACCTCCAGTGCCAATTTCTGGCGAGATCTTGTGTGTGCTCCCTGCAAGATCTCACACAATTTTGGTGAGATCTTGCCAGAAATTGGGGGGTGGGGGCGCCTCCTTGCGACTTCCGCCACCTAAGGCAGTGGCATCACCTTACCCAATGGCTACGCCGGCCTTCCAAATATTCGAAAATGTATGCGCTCTCGGCCCCAGGTGCCCCAAGCTGCTCATGGGGGTCATTTAGGGGAGCACAATTAGTGGTGGTCTCTCCCCCCCCACCATGAAGAAGAAGCATGAATCATTTCAACAAAGAGTTGTGCTGCCCGGTGGGATTTGACTGGGGAAGCCCAGCCAGATGGGTGGGGTATAAATAATAAATTATTATTATTTTATTATTATTGACATCTTTCCGCAGGGCCTGCAAGACAGAGCTGTTCTTTTCTGGCCTTTGATTTAGACTCAGTCTGACCCTTATGTTTCCCTCCCCTTATGGTCTTGATTTAAAAATGAGGCTGCATTTTAAATTGCATTTTAACCTGTATTTTAAATTGGTTTCCTCCCCCCATTATGTTTTTTACTGTGATTTTATTGGTGTTTGCCGCTCTCAGCCCAGCTCTGGCCGGGGAGAGCAGGGTATAAATAAAATTTATTATTACTATTACTTACGACCGCCTCTACTTAGGCCTGATCCAAGTTGCGACCGCGGCAAACCCGGAAGTAAATACTGGGTTTGCTCCAATTTGTGCATGTGCAGCAGCAGCTTCTGCCGTTTGCACATGCGCAGAAGCGCACTGCCGCCGAATGCCCCTGTGCACGACGGCGCTTCTACCGGCAACCCAGATCGACCTCAAGAACTGATTATGTCCGTAAGTGGAGGTTCCACTGTACTGGGCTCAATTCTACGGCATCCCCCAGATTAGAAACCAGGCAGGCCATGTCAGTACTAAGTTTCAGACTCTGGGTTAGAAATGACTTAACATCAGGAAGTCTTGGCGCCTTAAACGCTGCTCTAGCATTTTATTCTTCCATGTTCAGATCTACGGTTAAATTCTGTATACAGTGATACCTCAGGTTACATACGCTTCAGGTTACATATGCTTCAGGTTACATACTTCGCTAACCCAGAAATAGTGCTTCAGGTTAAGAACTTTGCTTCAGGTTGAGAACAGAAATCATGCTCCGGCGGCACGGCAGCAGCAGGAGGCCCCATTAGCTAAAGTGGTGCTTCAGGTTAAGAACCGTTTCAGGTTAAGTACGGACCTCCGGAACGAATTAAGTACTTAACCCGAGGTACCACTGTACTGCATGTTTGAATTTCTGCAAGCCACCTGCCGACACAAGAAGAGTCTGGTGGATCAGGCCAATGGCCCATCTAATCTTAACGTTTTGACTGAAATTATTTCAGTCATAAAGAAACAGTCCTGTCCTATGGAGAGGCAGAGTTGAAGTTTTGCTCCAACTTCTGCACAACAGCCTTGCAGAGAGGGACATCAGAGAAGCATGATGGTTGTGCAACACACCAAAGCCCATCTATAGTCCAGCATCCTGTTCTCAGGGCGGTTGATCAGATCCCTCAGTGGGAAACAGGCAAGCAGGATTCGTGCAAAGGACCCCTCTCCCCTCCTATGGTGGTACCTTGGTTCTCAAACGCCTTGGTACTCAAACAACTTGGAACCCAAACACCGCAAAGTGTTTCGCTTTGTAAACTGTTTTCGGAAGCTGAACGTTTTGAGTGTTACGCTTCTGATCTGAGTGCCACACTTCCGATTTGAGTGTTACGCTGAGGTCTGTCTGCTTTTGCTATTTATTTTGCGTTTTTGTGGCTCCTTTTTGTTTGTTTTTGTGACTGTGTGGAAGAACCCAGTCCAGCTCCTGATTAATTGACTGACTGTGTGACTGCAGTACATTGTTTATTGCTTTCATTTTATGGACCAATGGTCTCGTTAACATAGTAAAATTTGTGTTAAATTGCGTTTGTGTTAAATCGTTTTAGGGGTTGTTTTTAGAAGTCTGCGACGGATTGATCCATTTTGCATTACTTTCTATGGGAAAGCACGCCTTGGTTTTGGAACGGGCTTCTGGAACAGATTAAGTTTGAGAACCAAGGTGCCGCTGTACTTAAAAAACATTCCTGCCTCCACTATGGTGCCAGAGCACAGCCATTGCAGCTGGCAGCCATCTTTATCCCTCTCCTCTATGGATTTGTCTAATCTTCCTGAAGGAGAAAATCACGCCTCAAACATGAGTTCAGCGTTTGTTTGTTTTTTTGTCCTGATGTCAAGACTTCTCTCCCTACCTTCCTCCACAAGCTGGAACGGACGACAAGGAATAAAGAACAGGGGTTGCCAAAACTGCATATGCGTTGCCCGCCAAATCTGTCCCCCAAGCTATCCTGGCACAGATTTCTGAGGTAACCCTGCAATAATCCGCACTGCATAGTTGCAGGATTAGCTCCCAGCCCCTGCCTCACCCCCAGCTGCTAATGCTTTGTAAACACCAATGAAAGATTTCTGGATCTGTGTATTTTGCAGATAAGAAAATGCAGTGAAGATCTGTAGGGTTTGTGTGCGCAAGGCGCAAGGAGCATCTCGTACAAAGCGGTTTTTCAGGGGCAGAAAAACCTCCGCCCGCCCCCCAAACGAGCCTTCCCTCTTATTTCCAATCACCTAAAGGAAGAAAAGGACCCCATTGTTCCCTTTGTCCTCTGCAAACCTGGAATTTACTGTCGGGGAAGAAAGCCGCGTGCCCTGCCGATCTTAATTAAGAAGCAGCAGAGATGTTATTAAGGCAAACTATCTGCGCACAACCAGCCATTTCCACAAGGCTGAGGGACCCCATTGACCTGCAGAGGATTCTGGGGAAATGGTGGAAAGAGCTGGGAACATGGTGCCTAGAAAAGAGTAAAGGGAAAGATGGATAGCTGTCTTTTAGAATGTATTTCTATTAGCTGAATGTGATTTTATGTAAACTGTGCTATTTTTACTGTTAGCCGTTCTGAGCCCGGCTTTGGCTGGGGAGGGCGGGATATAAATTAAATTTTAATATTATTATTATTATTCAGTTAGGGCTGTGTTTTCCCTCCACTACCGGGGGCAGAATGCTTTTGCCTTTTATCTTATTTAACTAATTAGTTATTTGCCCGTATCACCCCTTCCTGGGGGACTTGTGGACAGCAGCCAGCCAGATATCAAAAGCGACCAGTAGCCAAACTGACAGAAAGCTCGTTTTTCTTGGCCCGTAAGCAGGACTCCTTAAAATGTTTGCACAACTTAGAAGGGCATATAATTGTTGTTGTTGTTGTTATCATCATCATCATAGAATCTTAGAGTTGGAAGGGACCCGAGGGTCATCTAGTCCAACCCCCTGCAATGCTGGAATCTCAGCTAAAGCATCCATGACAGATGGCCATTCCAACCTCTGCTTGGAAACCTCCAAGGAAGGAGAGCCCACCACCTCTTGTGGGAATCTGTTCCACTGCTGAACAGCTCTTACTGTATTCCACTAATTGTTTATTATTATTATTATTAATAATAATAATAATAATAATAATAATAATAATAATAATAATTTTATCTGTACCCTGCCCCTCTGATTGGGTTACCCCTGCCACAATGGGCAGCTTCTAACATATATAAAAACATAGTAAAACACTGCACATTAAAAAGCTTCCCTATACAGGGCTGCCTTCAGATGTCTTCTAAAAGTTGTGTAGTTATTTATCTCCTTGACATTAAGGTCCATGAATAACCATAGTTTAGAGGTCCCGGGCCCTATGGAAGTCAGACTATCCTCCACCAGGGCCAGGGCCTTTTCAGTGATGGCTCCAACCTGGTGGAATGCTCTGTCCCATGAGACTAGGGTCCTTCAGGATTTAACCTCCTTCCGTCGGGCCTGTAAGACAGAGCTATTCCGCCTGGCCTTTAAACTGAATTCAGACTGATCTTTTATTTCCCTTCTCTTCCCTCCCCCTACCATTTTATGAAGATCACCCACTCTGAGACCCCACAGCTAATTCTCCCCTGGCCTCCTCGCTGGCCCAAGTAGGACAAATTCAGCCAGCTAGCCCTGGTGACTATCTAATGCTTCTTAGATGGATTTCCCCTAAATTGATTTCTGAACTTTGAATTTTATTGTTATTCATGTTTTTATACTGTATTTTATGCTGCTTTTACAATTAAGTGTTTTAAATTTGTTGTTAGCCGGCCTGAGCCCGGTTTTTGAACCGGGAAGTGTAGGGTTTAAATAAAAAATTATTATTATTAGAGTGCGTACCACAGGGTAGGTGCCACTACCAAGAAGGCCTGGTTCCCTGTAACTTCATTTCATTGGGAGCCGCCCAGAATGGCTGTGGCAACCCAGTCAGATGGGCCACATATAAACAATAAAATAATTACAATTGTAATTTCTAATTATTAGCACATTACTGAAAGAACATGTTTGCCCGAACCCACCCAAAAAGTGTGAATCGAGCCATCGTGAGACGGCCGCGTTCTTCAATTCATTATTTGTCAAGTGCCTTTTGGCAAGAAAGGGACACAACGTGGCGATAAAAAATGGCGGCCATTGCCCACTTGAAGACACGGATACCGAGATCCTTAGTGCGTCTTTTTTTCCCCTCAGAGAAAAAGAGAGCGCTGTCGGAGGCAACTGGCCTCACTTCCTTGTAATCTGTTTTAAGACCCCTTTTTCCGGGCCCTTTCTTGAAGGCTGAAAAGCCTGGAATGTCATTTTGGCTCGAAAGAAGAAGAATTTCTCTCCAAGCGGATAAATTTAGCTCGTCTAAATTTAGCATGCATTCGAGAGGCTTAAGATGCCTGGTGTTGTTCTTAAATAATAAAAGAACATGTTCTTGAAGGACAGGGTGTGAAGCAATAACATTGTGTCCCGTACTCAAAGAGCCCTGACTGTTTATTTTGAAGTCCGGTACAAGGGTTTTTTTTTTTGGTGGTGGTAGTGGAGACAAAACAAAAGCCAAAAAACCCAAGAAACATCTTAAGGACATCACTATAATAATGGCCGACGTGAAGATGAGTCCCCTTCATTATACTTGTGTGGGGTGTCTATACTTTATCATTCTCTGGAAAAATAAAAAAGTTCTGATTTAATAGTGTGCTGCGTCATTACAGCATCTTCATCCTGTTCAATTTACCAAAATACCAAAACTATACGTTATAAGATTATTATTATTACGGGAAATCCTAAAACAAGGGGTCAGATCCCCCACATCCCAGATGAGCTAATTTGACAGGTGGGTGCGGCAGAACTGAAACAATAGATCACCACCAATCAGCTGATCGGGGCTGAATTCAAGTCCCGCTTACAGCAGGTAACTTCAAATTTTGGTGTCAAATTTAATGGTGTCAGACTTGGATCACAAGCCCTGATCACAGTCTTTGCCTGCCCCACACCTGATGTCATACGTGGTGTCACGTGGGGTGGTTATGGGCTGGCTCAGGTTGACAGATCAAGGACGCATCTTCAAAGCCCAGCGGAATGCCAATACAGATGGGGGCAACTCATATTTCAGCAGGCAGTATATTCGACGATAGTGAAAAAGCGGCTTTCTTATTACAACGAGCTGATACTGTGCTTATTAGTAAAGGTAAAGCAGCCCCTGACCATTAGGTCCAGTCGTGACTGACTCTGGGGTTGCGGTGCTCATCTAACTTTATTGGCCGAGGGAGCCGGCGTACAACTTCTGGGTCATGTGGCCAGCATGACTAAGCCGCTTCTGGCGAACCAGAGCAGTGCACGGAAATGCCATTTACCTTCCCGCCGAAGTGGTACCTATTTATCTACTTGCGCTTTGATGTGCTTTCAAATTGCTAGGTTGGCAGGAGCAGGGACCGAGCAATGGAAGCTCACCCCATCGCGGGGATTCGAAACGCCGACCTTCTGATCACCAAGTCCTAGGGCTCTGTGGTTTAACCCACAGCACCATCCGCGTCCCACTGTGCTTATTAGTCTGATCTTAATGCCTTTACTGCACAATGGGCAGAAAGTCCGGTCTTTAGAGAGCTCTCTCTCTCTCTTTCAAATCAGAACCAGTGAAGGCGATGAAGGTCCTGTGTGAGTGTCTGGAGGCAGTTGGAGGATGGATGGCGGCTAACGGATTGAGGTTGAATCCTGACAAGACAGAAATACTGTTTGGGGGGGACAGGAGGCAGGCAGGTGTGGAGGACTCCCTGGTCCTGAATGGGGCAACTGTGCCCTTGAAGGATCAGGTGCGCAGCCTGGGAGTCATTCTGGACTCGCAGCTGTCCATGGAGGCGCAGGTTAATTCTGTGTCCAGGGCATCTGTTTACCAGCTCCATCTAGTATGCAGGATGAGACCTTACTTGCCCGTGGACTGTCTCGCCAGAGTGGGGCATGCTCTGGTTATCTCTCGCTTAGACTACTGCAATGCGCTCTAAATGGAGCTACCTTTGAAGGTGACCCAGAAACTGCAATTAATCCAGAATGCGGCAGCTAGACTGGTGACTGGGAGTGGCCGCCGGGACCACGTAACACCGGTCTTGAAAGACCTACATTGGCTCCCAGTACGTTTCTGAACACAATTCAAAGTGTTGGTGCTGACCTTTAAAGTCCTAAATGGCCTTGGTCCAGTATACCTGAAGGAGCATCTCCACCCCCCATCGTTCTACCCGGACACTGAGGTCCAGAGCCGAGGGCCTTCTGGCGGTTCCCTCATTGTGAGAAGCCAAGTTACAGGGAACCAGTCAGAGGGCCTTCTCGGTAGTGGCACCCGCCCTGTGGAACACCCTCCCACCAGATGTCAAAGAGAACAACTACCAGACTTTTAGAAGACATTTGAAGGCAGCCCTGTTTGGGGAAGCTTTTAATGTTTGATGCATTACTGTATTTTAATATGTTGTTGGGAGCCGCCCAGAGTGGCTGGGGAAGCCCAGCCAGATGGGCGGGGTATAACTAATAAATTATTATTATATTATTATCTTTCAGGTACCCTGGATCCAGAGCAGTTTAGAGCTTTATAATTTTATATTATTATTATTTATTCATTTATTAAACTTGTACACCACCCTCTACCCGCAAGTCTCAGGGCGGTTCACAGGATAAAATGACAATATGAAAACACAAAATGCATAATCAGAATAAAAGCAAAACCAACCCAATTAACAACCCCCCCCTCGAAACAGTAACAAGACCTTAGAAACAGGGTCAGTGGTTAACAGGCATCCTGCAATAGCTGCAGCCTCTGGACCAACAACAAGGGAAGCCCCACACAAAGTATATGGCAGTAGTCTAAACATGAGATTACCCAAGCCACAGTGGCCCAGAAAAGGGTGTAGTTGGACCTGGAGGTGGTGCAATGGGTCAGCGCGTCTGGCGGTTAACCTGAAGGTTGGTGGTTCGAGCCCACTCAGGGACAGCTGTGGGCTGAATTCCTGCATTGCAGGGGGTTGGACTAGACGACCCTGCTGACATTTCCATTCCACCTTAAGGAACAGGCATGTGGAATTGCTGCGTGTCACATGTCTGTTTACATTCCAGCACAGCTTGCTGGGAACTTCCGTTTGTGTATAGCTTTTGCTGTTCTCTCTGAGACGACATGAGAGAGAGACGACATGTTTCTTTGTTCTGATTTACCGTATTTTTCGCTCCATAAGACGCACCTTTTCCCTCCTAAAAAGTAAGGGGAAATGTGTGTGTGTCTTATGGATCGGAGGCAGGCGGGAAAAGCCCCCAAGAGCTACACACACGCTCCGCGCGGCTCTTGCGGGCTTTTCCTCGAGGAGGCCAGTCAGTGCCTTCTCCCTCCTCGGGGAAAAGCCCCTAAGAGCCGCGCACCCTTTCACAAATCACAAGGAGGGAGAAAAACCTGCAAGCACACACGGCTCGTGAAAGGGAGCGCTGAGCAGAGCCTGGGATGCACACAGGCTCTGCTCAGCGCTCCCTTTAAAAAAAATTTTTCCCTTGCATTCCCCCTCTAAAAACCAGGTGCATCTTATGGAGCGAAAAATACGGTGTTTAATAAATCTGCAGCTGCAGCATGACTTACACCTCACACCTACCTCTGTGTGCGAACCACACTCTGCTAATTGCGTGCCCTGGCTTTTGAAGTTCGGGTCGCTGATTTACGTCGGAGCACGGGCCGATGGAAGGAGACGTCCGAGCTGGGCTTGCTAAATGGCCTCCCGGCCCCTCTGCATGTCGACAGACCCCCGGGTCCCTTCTAACTCTATGATTCTGCGATACACCAGCTGAAGTTGGCACTCTTTCAAACTGAGACCACGTGACTCTCCTTTGCCTGGCTTCTCTGTTCCCCTGCCTACTCCACTCGCAAGTTAACCAGACACACCAGGGAGAGGCAGTGTGGTGGTTAGAGAACCAGGCTAGGAGCTGGGAGACCAGGGTTCGAATCCCCACCCAGCCACTAGGTGACCTTAGGCCGGTCCCTCTCTCAGCCAAGCCTACTTCTCCTCAAGTTGTTGCATGGATAACATGGGGAGAAGTATGGGTGCCACCTTGAGGTCTTTGGAAGAAAGGTAGAGCGCGAATGTAATATATAAGAAAGAAAGAAATATATTTGGGCTCACGCTTGTCCCTCCAATATGATTTCACCCACGACTGGGCTTCCAGTGCCATTTACAAGGGCCACCCCATGGATATTTCCGTTGTGTCAACACCTTACAACCACCGCGGGGCCCAAAACACACCCACAGACACCCACAGTCAGCCTTAAATCTCCCAACTGCGAGAACAGAAAACAAAAAACCAACAAGATCCATACCCAGCCATCACTTCCAAGTGCAGTTGGCCAGAGACCGTCAGAAATGCAGGGACGTCAAAGAAATGGGGGTTTTCTCCAGGTACTCTCTTTTCATTTGCAGACTGCAAGAATTAAAACAAAACAAAACGGGAAACTGTTGATTAGCTCAGGGGTAGGGAACCTTCAGCTACCTCCAGCCCATGGGCCAAATTGCGTGCCCAGGGTTCAAATCTGGCCATCGAAGCAGTTTTCGTCAAATCACATCCACCTTCCCCAAACGTGATGTCCTGTCTGACACAAAGCATGTGCTGTAATGACGGAGCTACCGTCCCTCCCTGATGGAGCTGCTTCGCTGCGGTGTCTAGAAACCGTGGTTTGTTCAAACAAAGGCTTGTGTGATATCCGCAGTACATCAACCATTGCTAGCCTCCTTTAGAGGCCACAGCGCAACAGAAGTGAGTGTACAGATCAGATGGAAAACAGGAGGCGGCAAGCAGCCGTAAACTACAGCATGTTGGTATGTGCAGAAGCTCCAAACCACGGTTTCCATTTCAACTGTGGTTGGCACCAACCATAGTTTGGCTGAACGTCTGAACGGTCACACACTTCGCTTTGCATATGCATCCCGGGGAGTGGGGTGGCGGCGGAGAGACTTGCACCAGTTGTGACTTCCCAGTGCGAAATATACACAGGAGAGCCACTGCGGTGTAGTGGTTAGAATGCAGATCTGGGTTCAAATCACCCCTCACCTCTTACACTCCCCGGTTGATGTGGAACCTGTCAGCCGAATCAACTCCACAAGGTTGCTGAGAAGATAATACATTTGGGGTGGGTGATGTCTGGTTTCCAACTTTGTGATATATCATGATATACAGTCGTACCTTGGTTGTCGAACGCCTTGCGACTCGAACGTTTTGGCTCCTGGATGCCACAAACCCGGAAGTGCGTGTTCTGATTTGCGAACATTCTTTGGAACCCGAACGTCCGGCGCGGCTTCCAATTGGAAGCTCCTGCAGCCAATCAGAAGTCGTGCCTTGGTTTGCGAATGTTTTTGGAAGTCGAACGGACTTCTGGAACGGATTGCGTTTGAGAACCGAGGTACGACTGTACTGATATATTACAATGACTGAAATAAGGATGGAGTTATGTAGAAGCACTGGGTAGCTTCAGTTTCCCCCATAATGTGATTCTTGAATAGCACACACATCATGATTTGCAATATATTGCTAGGTCAAAAATTATGAAACCAATTATCATGATACGGACTTGAAGCTGGTTTTGGAAGCTACGCCACCCAGCCCTAAAATACAAATCATGATTCACGATATATTGCCAGGTCAAAAACTACGAAGTCAATATCACAGTATGGACTTCAAACCAGTTTTAGACAATATATGGATGTATCGGCCAGCCCTAGTATTCTGCTGATGTCTTTGGAGGATAAAAAGATTGTTTAACGGCGACATGTACATCATACATGCATTGCCCACATTCCCCGATGAATAAATGCGAGTTCTGAATCGTGCCTAAAAGCACCTGTGAGCCAGAGAAAACACTGTTATCCTTTATAGAGACTCAGTTTTGCGAGTTACACTGGAACAGATTAAAGGAAAACTACAACCGTGTCACACATTGTTGTCGTGCACAGACACACTCCTCAAACTTCCTTTTGAACAGTTCTCACGCTAAGCACCAGAAGAACATTTATATTCAGGAGAGTTTAAATGCACAGTTCTGCTGGGGGGTTGCGAGAGTTCCCTTGGAAGTAACTGATGAAAGAAAGAAAGAAAACCCTCTCTTTGAAGAGCCACAGGTGCTGTTCACAGACATGGAAGGAAGGAAGGTTTCGCGTCAGGATGAAAACATCTGTCACAAAAATTAAAACAAAGAGCAACGTTTTCAAGAAGGGGCTTTTCGTTTCCTTGCAACGGCCACCGGTGAAGATTGAAGAAAGCTTTCAGGCAAATGCAGGAGAGAGGAAACAAAAGGCGAAAAGATGAAATATTGAAGGATTCTTTGGATTTCTTTTTCAAACGCCTTGCCTCAAAAGGAACAAGACAATAACATGCCCGCTACGCTGTGGACGCCAGAAAAGGCCCTGGATTGGAAAGGAAAACGAAGATTTCACTCTCCGTTTGTAGAAACAAACAAAACCTTCCATTCAACCGCATCCCTCAGTCACCTGAGACACCCAGAGAAATAGGAAAGCCAAATGGGTCTCCCCCTAATATTTCCCCTGCCTCCATGAGGTGAGATATTTGTAGCAGCTAAGGGCGGAAAAATACACCAAGGGCAAGAGAAAGCCACAGAAAAAATCTGAGCTCTTTCTAAAGGGCTGGCTCCATGTTTGATGGGAGATAAAATGTAGTGCCCTACAGCGGACACAAAAAACCTCCTTTTTTGTAACCTAAGGGCCACACTCCGTTCTGTACAACCTTCTGAGGGCCACACTCCCATGGGGAATGGAGCCAAAAGCCAATGTGGGTGAAACAAGAAGTGTAAATTTAATATCTGTACAGTTGAGGGGGTAAGGGTTGTTATGGGAAGGTAGTACCTTTGGCGGGGGACATGAGGGGTACAGTGGTACCTCGGGTTAAGAACTTAATTCGTTCTGGAGATCTGTTCTTAACCTGAAACTGTTCTTAACCTGAGGTACCACTTTACTTAATGGGGCCTCACGCTGCCACTGCGCCGCCGGAGCACGATTTCTGTTCTCATCCTGAAGCAAAGTTCTTAACCTGAGGTACTATTTCTGGGTTAGCGGAGTCTGTAACCTGAAGCGTCTGTAACCCGAAGTACCACTGTAGTTTGTCTACCTTTGGTCCATGCTCTCACCTGTGGCTCCTAGAAGCTGTCAGCGTGTGACAGCGGCCACACTCCAGGAACGGCTTCAACTGGCCAGCTAAACCAGGTGAGGGTAGCCGATGGGTCTCAAACCCTCGTGAGTTAGGGACTTCCCCTGTGTACAAAGGCGGGCTCCGGCAGATTGAGCAGATGAGACCGAGAGGGGGACGAACGGTCAAGGAGGTGGTTTCTGCACGTGATATAGAGGGAAGTGAGGGGCAGATGGGGCTTGTCCACCTGGGAAGGTTGCCCATCTAGAGGAAGGAAAACTCTGATCTTAAACCTCTGCTGCCTTGCAGAATATCTTTGGGAGAAGTAAAGGCTAAGGGGTAAACTCTAGAAAAAGATAAAGATAAAGGACTCCCTGGACAGATAAGTCCAGTCAAAGGTGACTATGGGGTGTGGTGCTCATCTCGCTTTCAGGACGCTTTTACGTCCTTCCACAGTGGCAGCACAGATTTCCAGGCAGGAACTGATCAGGGTGAAGGTTTGCCAAGCGTGCCTTCCTCTTAGCACGTTTCTCCCTTTTGTCCTGAGTTAGAGCATCTTCAAAGCCCATGACACCTTAATACTGTCTACACTGACTGGCAGTGAATCTATAGGGTTTCAGGCAGGGAGACTTTCACAGGCCTACCTGGAGATGCCAGGGATTGAACGTGGGTAAAGGTAAAAAAAGGTAAAGGACCCCTGGGCGGTGAAGTCCAGTCAAAGGCGACTATGGGGTTGTGGCACTCATCTCGCTTTCAGGCCGAGGGAGCCGGCGTTTGTCCACAGACAGCTTTCCGGGTCATGTGGCCAGCAGGACTAAAGTGCTTCTGGCGCAAAACGGGACAGAAAACAGAGCTCATGGAAACACTGTTCAGTTTCCCGCCACAGTGGTACCCATTAATCTATTTGCATTGCTGTGCTTTCAAACTGCTAGGTTGGCAGGAGCTGGGGCAGAGCGACGGGAGCTCACTCTGTTGCAGGGATTCGAACCGCCAACCTTCCGATCAGCAAGCCCAAGAGGCTCAGTGGTTTAGACCACAGCACCACCCGTGTCCCTTTCGGGGTAAACCCTGCACAAATTCAGAGTGGAGTCCCTTTGGCGGTTGGACGGCGCCTTGTGGGCCTCCTTCTGACAACTCCTGCAGCCAAGCTGGTGCCAAACGCCTTGTGCTCTGCTTTCGTTTGACCACATCAGCGAGGCCAAGAGGGGGGTGGGTCTTGTCATCTGGGTAGCCCAGAGCCTCCATACACACTGCCCAGGTTTGCGCCCCGGGAAGGCCACTTTGGTGCTGCTAACGGAGGAGTTTGACCTCACCCCCGGAGGTGCACTCCATTGTCTCTCGAGGCAGACAAGCAAGCAAGCAGTGTCCAAGCTAAGATCATCCGCAGTGTTTGATCGTATCCATCCGCAGAAGACCTTTTACCTCTGGCGGCATGCGTTTGGTTCATGTTTAAGAAGATCGTTGATTTCCTGCTTGCCAACAACAAGTAAAAGGCTACTTTCCAACACAAACTGCCCTGTCCATTCTCCATCTAGGCAAGCAAAAGGCATCATCAGAGTTCAAGAACACATCCCGGTCGAGCCAAAACAGAGCGGGACCAGTGAGGGCATACAGTCTAGGCCCAGTTCTTTTCTTTAAATTTGTTTTTATTAAAGATTCTCCTTTGTTGCAAAACAAACAAAGGGAAAAGTACACACAGTGGTACCTCGGGTTACAGACGCTTCAGGTTACATACGCTTCAGGTTACAGACTCTGCTAACCCAGAAATAGTATCTCAGGTTAAGAACTTTACCTCAGGATGAGAACAGAAATCGTGTGGCGGCAGCGGGAGGCCCCATTAGCTAAAGTGGTACCTCAGGTTAAGAAGAGTTTCAGGTTAAAAACGGACCTCCAGAACGAATTAAGTTCTTAACCTGAGGTACCACTGTACAGTGTCTCCATGTTCAATTTACAGAGACTTTTATAGCTCGTTTACATTCGGTATGACACACTAATGTCATAAGACACTGTGCGGCTTGGGGGAAAGAGGGGAGAGATTATGATTTTTCGTTCTGTTGCACAGTTTTTGTGCAGGGTTTTTGTGTTGGCATCATTTGGGTAGGTCGTTTATTTACATATCTATTTCTTTTTATTGGCTTTGAGAGAATTTGGGGGGTTCAGATCCTGGTTGGTTGCTGTATGGTTTGTTTCGATGTGTGAGGTTTGGAGAAGCTATAGGGTCAGATTAGCCATATTGATTTGTATGCTGCTGGGGAAGGGATAGGTCATGGTATTGTGTTGTACATTTCATAAAGGGAAGCCACAACAAGGTGCTCCTTCACTTTTCGCTGTGCTAGTTTAAATTTGTTGGTTTGGAGGGCCAGACAGAGAGAATTTGACTGCTGGGTCTGATTTCCCCCACCCCCAATTTAGAGAACAGTTTGATCAAGCGTCTGCCCAATATAAGCTTTAAACACCTAATGCTACCCACAAAATACCTGTTACTTTTCACATCCTCTCCCTTATTATTACTCGAAGGGGAATGGTTGGCAGATGGCTTTAGTAAATCCTCTCTGCTTCTTGGGGTGAAAGCGCTGTCAATACACAACAGAAAAGCTTGGAGCAGTGGAAGGCTTTGGAGACTAACTCCAGGCATAAAGAACAACCCCCAGTCAATACCTGTTTTGTGCTTTCCTCTAAGTGATATAACAATGATTCCCTTTGATGTCTGCCTTCCTGGTTCTCTCCTTTAAGCTCAAAGGAAGCATTTGGCTTTAGGGCAAACAAAAAAGGTTTCATTTGCTACTAAGCTTTATTATTGAAGGGACGCGGGTGGCGCTGTGGGTTAAAGCACAGAACCTAGGACTTGCCGATCAGAAGGTCGGCGGTTCGAATCCCCGCGACGGGGTGAGCTCCTGCTGCTCGGTCCCTGCTCCTGCCAACCTAGCAGTTCGAAAGCACATCAAAGTGCAAGTAGATAAATAGGTACCACTCCGGGAGGAAGGTAAATGGCGTTTCCGTGCGCTGCTCTGGTTCGCCAGAAGTGGCTTGGTCATGCTGGCCACATGACCCGGAAGCTGTACACCGGCTTCCTCAGCCAATAAAGCGAGATGAGGGCCGCAACCCAAGATTTGGTCATGACTGGACCTAATGGTCAGGGATCCCTTTACCTTTATTATTATTATTTTTTGCAGGAATTTCGCTCCCCCTCCTGCAAAAGGGACACAGAGGCAGGGATCACTGCCCCCTTCGATCACCCCACGGGATACCTGCGAAGGTGCCTCTGGAGGGATTTTGGAGAAGACATTCACTGCGATGTGTCACACCGCGATGCTCTTCAAACTGTGTTGATGCTTCCCTAGGTTTCAAAACCAGTTTGTTGTGTGACACTATTGCTGGTGGGAATCACACACGCACACAGGCTACTTATGGGACCGCCTCTCCTGGTATGTCCGGTGGAGGACCTTACCGTCTTCAAATAAAAACATATTGGAGATCCCGGGCCACAGGGAGGTTAGGCTGGCCTCAACCAGAGCCAGGGCTTTTTCGGCCATGGCCCCAATCTGGTGGAACGCTCTGTCACAAGAGACTAGGGCTCTGTGGGACTTGATATCTTTCTGCAGGGCCTGCTCAACAGAGCTGTTCCACCAGGCTTTTGGCCAAAATAGTCTGACCCCCTCCTTCTGTAATCCCTCATAGAATCTCTAGCCCAATGGTTGCCATTAATTTGACTCTGAATTGATTTTAGAATGAATTGATTTTAGAATGTATTTTAATTCATTGATTGTGATTTTATGTAAACTGTTATTTTTACTGTTGCTAGCTGCTCTGAGCCTAGCTTCGGCTGGGGAGGGTGGGATATAAAGAATTTATTATTATTATTATTATTTGCACAAAGACTAAACCAAAAATGAGGAAAACTTCTGCATGTGTAACAAGTCAGATGGGGTTTGGGGATCCTGTACCAAGAGAGAATGTGGCTCCTCAGGCAAAAAAAGAAACCAAGAAGAAAAAGTCGGTCCCCAAAGAGGCTGGGTGGCCATCTGTCAGGGATGCTTTAGTTGAGATACCTGAATTGCAGGGGGTTGGACTAGATGACCCTCGGGGTCCCTTCCAACTCCCTGATTCTGGCTTATTTATTGCTGAATTATCAAGGGCCTTACCTCTACTTGAAAGATTTCCCCGGCTCCTTCACAGTCGTTTGAAGTAATTATCGGCGTGTGAACATGCAAATATCCGTTATCCTAAAAATAAAAATAAAAAGTGATTTGAGAAGGAGAAAAAGTTACAAGTTACTGATGGACGACTTGAGTGTCTGCCCAGATAAAAGACTGAATGTGGCATAGTGGGTAGCGTATTGGGAGCCGAGTTCAGATCCCCACTCACCCACAAAGCTTACTGGGTAAACTTGGGGCAGCCTCTCACTCTCAGGCTAACCTACCTCTCAGGGTTGCGGTGGGGATTAAATGAGGAGGGGCAAAGAACCATGTACATATGTCCCCTTGAGCTCCTTGGAGGTAGGGTGGAAGAGAAATGTAATTCAAAGAGGCTCAGATTATCCAAACGTGCACTTGCAAACTAACCACTTTCAAACAGGACGCTTGGGAAATAAGCAGCCAACAGGATGTGAGACTAGGGAGGTCTTTGATCTAATCCATCACGGCCCTTCTTACCTTCTCCCCCACTGTTTATCATCAGTAGACAGCGATTCAGGGGTAGACTGCCATTAAAGCTGGAGGCTCCATTTAGCCACCGTGGTTTGTAGCCAAATGCCCTCAGGCTTCCCAGAATCATCCTGCTGGCTATTATTAAAAACAGGAGGCCGGACGAGATGGAGCCTTGGTTTGATCCAGCAGGGCTTTTTTTGTGCCAAGAGAGACGGGCCCATCAGTGGAGAGAGGCTGGACTTTAAATGCAGCTTTGCCGGGACTCTGGAATAACTTCCCAGAGGAAGTCCGCTTCTATATCTCCCCTGGGACTTACAAATAAATGCAAACATGCCTCTCTCTGGTCACTCCTTGCAAATCAGCCCCCCCATCTGCATTTGGCTTTGATTTTTTAAAGTTCACTTTGATATTTATTTATTTTTGCACTGGAGACATTTTGAATGCTTTGATTACCAATCCCCAACCTCAACCATGTGGAGAAATTGTGCTTAAAGAAAAAATATTTTGTGTGTGTATCGCTTCCAACTCTACAATTCAAGGATACTTCCCTAGGCAAGTGCAGAATCTGCCTGCAGAGAGATCTCTAGGAGGCCTGGCAAAGTCTTATAGAGAGTGTCAAGGCCATTATTATTCCTCCTCCTTCTTAGACGATCACTCATAGCCGAGTAAGATTGTCTTCCATGAACACGATCTTAGCAGTGAGTCCATAAATGACTGTGAAGGCCAATTCTGGATCCACACGTCCTTCCACAGTGGGGACATAGGTTTCCAGGCGGGAGTTGATCACGGTGAGGGTTTGCCAAGCATGGCTTCCTCTTAGCACATTTCTCCCTTTTGTCCTGAGTTTGAGCGTCTTCAAAGCCCACGACACCTTAATACAGTGGTACCTTGGGTTAAGAACTTTATTCGTTCCGGAGGTCCATTCTTAACCTGAAACTGTTCTTAACCTGAAGCACCACTTTAGCTAATGGGGCCTCCAGCTGCCACCATGCTGCCAGAGCACAATTTCTGTTCTCATCCTGAAGCGAAGTTCTTAACCTGAGGTACTATTTCTGGGTTAGCGGAGTCTGCAACCTGAAGCGTCTGTAACCCAAGGTACCACTGTACTGTCTACACTGACTGGTAGTGAATCTATAGGGTTTCAAGTAGGGAGACTTTCACAGGCCTACCTGGAGATGCCAGGAATTGAACCTGGGGAAAGGTAAAAAGGTAAAGAACCCCTGGATGGTGAAGTCCAGTCAAAGGCGACTATGGGGTTGCGGCGTTCATCTCTTTTCAGGCCGAGGGAGCCAGCGTTTGTCCACAGACAGCTTTCCGGGTCATGTGGCCAGCAGGACTAAACCACTTCTGGAGCAACGGAACACCGTGACGGAAACCAGAGCACACAAAAATGCTGTTTACCTTCCCGCCACTGTGGTACCTATTTATCTACTTGCACTGGTATGCTTTCGAACTGGTAGGTTGGCAGGAGCTGGGACCGAACAACGGGAGCTCAATCCGTCACAGGATTCGAACCGCCAACCTTCCAATCAGCAAGTTCAAGAGGCTCAGTGGTTTAGACCACAGCGCCACCCGCATCCCTTGAACCTGGGACTTTCTGCATGCAATGTACCGTATTTTTCGGACTGTAAGACGCACTTTTTCCCCTCCAAAAATGAAGGGGAAATGTGTGTGCGTCCTATCGGGCGAATGCAGACTCCTTGGCTTCAGCGATAGCAACGCGAAGCCTCCGAAGCCTGCACTCCGGAGGCTTCGCGTTGCTTCCGCTGAAGCCAGGAGAGTCTGCTCTTTGAGGCTGGCGGTGGGGGAAAGCAGCGCTTCCCCCATCGCCAGCCCCAGAGGATGGGGGGCAGCGGGAAGGCGCGCGATGCCCTCCCGCTACTCTCCAACCCTCCTTTGGGCTTTTGCGGGAGATGGGGGAATTCCCCCACCTCCCGCAAAAGCCCGCAAAAGCCTCGTGCTCCTTAAAGGGGCTCCGCGGCTTCTGCTGGCTTTTCTACGAGGGGGGGAATTCCCCCACCTCCTAGAAAAGCCCGCAGGAGCCGCGCACCCTTTAAAGAGCGCGCCGCTCTTGGGGGCTTTTCCCCGAGGAGGGAGAAGGGACTGACTGGCCGTTTCAGTCCCTTCTCCCTCCTGGTCGAAAAGCCCGCAGGAGTCGCGCGGGGCTCCTGTGGGCTTTTGCGGGAGGTGGGGGAATTCCGCCACCTCCCGCAAAAGCAGGGAGAAGGTCTTGGAGTAGCGTGCAGCCTGTCCGCTGCTCCCGGAGCTGCGGGGGGGGAAATCATATTTTTTTCCTTGATTTCCCCCCCTGAAAACTAGGTGCGTCCTATGGGCCGGTGCATCCTATAGGGCGAAAAATACGGTAAATGCTCCCCCACTGAACGGCAGCCCTTCCCCAAAGCAGTACCTATTGCGCTGCATTTTTAAGGTATCCTATTTCTTTTTGAAGGGACGCGGGTGGCACTGTGGGTTAAACCACAGAGCCTAGGGCTTGCCGATCAAAGGGCCGGCGGTTCGAATCCCTGCGACGGGGTGAGCTCCCATTGCGCGTTCCCTGCTCCTGCCAACCTAGCAGTTCGAAAGCACGTCAAAGTTCAAGTAGATAAATAGGTACCACTCCGGCGGGAAGGTAAACGGCGTTTTCGTGTGCTGTTCTGGTTCGCCAGAAGCAGCTTAGTCATGCTGGCCACATGACCCGGAAGCTGTCTGCGGACAAACGCCGGCTCCCTCGGCCTATAGAGTGAGATGAGTGCGCAACCCCAGAGTCAGTCATGACTGGACGTAATGGTCAGGGGTCCCTTTACCTTTACCTATTTCTTTTTACCTCTATCACATCTGAACCCTTTTTTGGGGTTTATGCTTGTTGCCTCCCCCTTATGGCAAGACATACTGCATTACAGCAATTGATTCAAACTTTGCATTTGCATATGTCTAAATTAGCAAGCCTGTTTATTTCGTAAAATTTCGTAAAAAAAATTCAAAATACAAAAACAAAACCTGTGGTTTACGAAAAGGATAAAGCAATATGCTCCGTCTCTGGTGCAGGAAGACTGAAAACTAGGAGCAGAAGGCATTGCAGGAATCACTTGCAAATAAAATCTGTTTCTTCCGGATATACCGAAAAAGTTGGTTAACTTATGTATGCATGAAATGGCAGCAGCAAGAACGAACAGAAATGGAAAGGGGAGGTAGGAAGAATTAAAATTATTAAAATGACAGGAGTTTGCGGAACTGGTAAAGTTAACCGCAAAGATTAGGGACCAGAAAGAATTATACATTCTTTGAGGATTGGAAACCGTGCGCAGAATATTTAAAGAACTATTATAACTGCATGAAAACGCGAGCAGGATTTTGAAATATGAGCAACAGTAGAAAAACATTAATCTCGGGTGTTTATATGGAGTGCTGCAAGTTAAAATATGCAGCATTTGAAAGATAAACATACAACACCATCGAGGGGGGGATGGGAAGTCAATGGATAAATAAAAGGTGTTGTTGATGGTAAAGTATGCAAACTTTTGAAAACTAAATAAAGAAAAAAATTTAAAATCAGTTTTTTTATCCATCTGGAGTAATAAACACACAAATACTGCCACCCAGTGGTCAGAGACTGCATACTGTCTCCAAATTTTTTTACACATCACTTGGGAAGACAGGCGAACTAATGCCAGTGTACTGGAAGAAGTAAAGATCACCAGTGTCAAAGCGATGATTCTTCAACATCAACTTTGTTGGACTGGTCATGTGCGGATGCCTGATTATCATCTTCCAAAGCAACTACTCTATTCTGAACTTAAAAATGGAAAGCGTAATGCTGGTGGTCAACAAAAAAGGTTTAAAGACTCTCTCAAGGCAAATTTAAAAAATAAATAGTATAAACACTGATGAGGGTCGCGGGTGGCGCTGTGGTCTAAACCACTGAGCCTAGAGCTTGCTGATCAGAAGGTTGGCGGTTCGAATCCCCGCGACAGGGTGAGCTCCCGTTGCTCAGTCCCTGTTCCTGCCAACCTAGCAGTTCAAAAGCACGTCAAAGTGCAAGTAGATAAATAGGTACTGCTCCGGCGGGAAGATAAACGGCATTTCCGTGTGCTGCTCTGGTTCGCCAGAAGCGGCTTAGTCATGCTGGCCACATGACCCAGAAGCTGTACACTGGCTCCCTCGGCCAATAAAGCGAGATGAGCGCCGCAACCCCAGAGTCAGCCACGACTGGACCTAATGGTCAGGGGTCCCTTTACCTTTTATAAACACTGACAAGTGGGAAACACTGGCCTGAAAGCCAACAGAGCATCTCTAGCTAAAAAGCTCCTGGTCCAGCTACGGAGAAGGTCAGACAGAGAGCACTGAAAACAAGGAAGTGTGCTGCGTGCCTTGCCTTCTTGTTACCTGGGCAGGTAAGGTCACACGCACCTCTAGTCACATGCAAGAAGTATGTCCCAGCCAGGAGGAAACAGGAAGTTTTCGACTGGCTGGGCCAAACGTCCCTTTGCATGTCCACTCTAGGAAAACAAGGAATGTTGTACTTGACTGCTATCTATGTATCACATCCCACCTTAAAAAAGGAGTGAATTGCAGCCGTGGCTTCGCTGCGGAGTCTCAGGAGAGCGCCCAAGGAATTGGTTCTGCATCGGACATGAGGGAACTGCCTGAGGTAATCCAGTGGGTGATGCGTTTTGTACTTCAGTGGGAACGCCTGGATGGGGGAAACAAGGAAGAGACAACAGAGTAAGCTCAACTTTACAACTCACTTGCGTCCCCTAGTAGAAAAGGTGGCATGCTCAGATGGGGAAAATGAGTGATTAACAAGGAAAAGGGGGGAAAAAGAACCTCAACGTTCAACTTTCCAGAAACATTTATTTCTAGGCAGCTGGGAATTCTGTCATAAAAATTTGATTAAATTTACTTACATAGCTATGGCTCCCTTAGCAAAGCATCTTACAGTAACAAATATAAATCTTCATCTAAAGATCCAACAATAATTATCAATTATTTCTGAGTCAGAATCATTATTAGAGACTAGAATCATTATCAGAGGTGGTCCCATCTAAGAAGTAAAACAATCAACATGGTGTAAGAGGAAACAATCACACTCTGGGCCAGTTTAGAGAGAAGATGGACTGGATTTTCAATTAATGATCCTCTTGTTTAAAATATCTATTTTTTAATCATGATTCTGTCACTCCTGTATTGGTTTGCTGGTCTCATTGGTGCTGTTGTGCTAGTTTAGATATGGATGTTTGCTATTTGAAAATGGTTTTATGTTTGTTGTGAGCTGCCTTGAGAAAACTATGTCTTGAAAGGCGGGACAGAAATCTCTGAAATAAATGAAGGCAAAGGATGTTGTTGTTTAGTCGTGTCCGACTCTTCGTGACCCCCTGGACCAGAGCACGCCAGGCACTCCTGTCTTCCACTGCCTCCCGCAGTTTGGTCAAACTCATGCTGGCTTTGAGAACACTGTCCAACCATCTCGTCCTCCGTCGTCCCCTTCTCCTTGTGCCCTCCATCTTTCCCAACATCAGGGTCTTTTCCAGGGAGTCTTCTCTTCTCATGAGGCGGCCAAAGTATTGGAGTCTCAGCTTCAGGATCTGTCCTTCCAGTGAGCACTCAGGGCTGATTTCCTTAAGAATGGAGAGGTTTGATCTTCTTGCAGTCCATGGGACTCTCAAGAGTCTCCTCCAACACCATAATATAATAAGGATATAGTCACCAAAAAAAGGAGAAATAATTTCTGAGCCATAAGAAGAAGAGGAGGAGTTTGGATTTGATATCCCGCCTTTCACTCCCTTTAAGGAGTCTCAAAGCGGCTAACATTCTCCTTTCCCTTCCTCCCCCACAACAAACACTCTGTGAGGTGAGTGAGGCTGAGAGACTTCAGAGAAGTGTGACTGGCCCAAGGTCACCCAGCAGCTGCATGTGGAGGAGCGGAGACGCGAACCCGATTCACCAGATTACGAGTCTACCACTCTTAACCACTACACCACACTGGCTCTCAACAAGCTCATGTTTATTCACCCTTAATTTGATTGTATTCTGATCAGCTCTTTCAGCACACTGACCAACAGGCTGGAAGGTCACCCAGGCACTGAGTGGCACCTGAGCCACAACCATTTATAATAATATACCCTGAGAAAACCAAAGAGAACACCTGTACAGTTCAAAATATGGCTTAGCAGCTATAATCCTGTAAAAATTCTCTCCAAAATAAGTCCTGCTGTGTTTAATGAGGTTGACTCCCAGGGAAACAGGCATCAGCTTGAGTTTCCTACGATGACGAAAAAGCATAAATTTATCAACCAGGCATATCCTGCAGTTGGGAAGAGTTGCACTTATTGCTGCAGATTTCATATGTGGTGGACTTGTAAAAGAGTATTGGGAAATATATTCATAATAAATTGAAAAAACATTTAGAGAAGATTAGAAAACGTTTATTGAGTACATGGGAAATAACTGTGTACAGCTGAAAACGTCGGCAGCGTGAAGATAAATTCAACAGTGTAAATGAGTTACGATGGATGTAATAACGGAATGCTGAATTGAACAGTTTCTGTAAAATATGAAGGGAATTATATGTAAAATGAACCATGGAAACAGAAGAAGGGAAATCATGGGTATCTTAAGGATGTAAAAATGAATACTTACAATTGTAAAACAGAAAAATTAATTAAAAAATTATGTTGCACTTACCAGGACATCGCAAGGGCCCACCACACGAATGTTCTCTGCAGCCAGCTCGACATTTTGACGTTTATGAGGACTTTTTATCAGTTTCCCTTGGACTTCGACAGAACTTCCAAACGTCAGCTCACTGGGGGAAGGCAATCAATTGCTCATAATGTGAATTTATGACATGCAGGCCATTTTCATACTGTGCATACTTTTTAAAAATAAATAAATGAGATTTTATTAAAGCTTTTTCATAACACGATAAAATAAGAGAAACTAATCTAAGTAAAAACAAAAGCAAAGAGAAAAAGAGAAAACACCTAAGGAACCTGGGAAAAACTATGGAAAAAAGATTTAAAATTTACCACATGTTACTGAAGGAAATTTTTTATGAAAATGATATATAGGTGGCATAAATTATCTAAGGGGGGGACACAGGTGGCACTGTGGTCTAAACCACAGCCTCTTGGTCTTGCCGGTTGGAAGGACAGCGGTTCATATCCCAGCAGTGGGGTGAGCTCCTGTTGCTCTGTCCCAGCTCCTGCCAACCTAGCAGTTTGAAAGCATGCCAGTGTAAGTAGATAAATAGGTACACTCTGGGTGGCTTTCAACAGAACATTAAAAACAGAATAAAACTTCAAACATTAAAAACTTCCCTAAACAGGGCTGACTTCAGATGTCTTCTAAAAGTCGCATAGTTGTTTATTTCCTTGACATCTGATGGGAGGGCGTGGCATAGATAGATAGATAGATAGATAGATAAATAAAAAAGTTCAACAACTTTTGGAGTGTCCTGGTTTTTACTTTTTGAAATACAGCAACTCTAAGGTATAGGGAGAAATCAGAATACAGTGGTACCTCGGGTTACATACGCTTCAGGTTATAGACTCCACTAACCCAAAAATAGTACCTCGGGTTAAGAACTTTGCTTCAGGATGAGAACAGAAATTGTACTCCGGCAGCGCGGCAGCAGCAGGAGGCCCCATTAGCTAAAGTGGTGCTTCAGGTTAAGAACGGTTTCAGGTCAAGAACGGACCTCCGGAACAAATTAAGTACTTTACCCAAGGTACCACTGTATGTAGTGGAAAAGAATGTAATAAAATGCAGGGGAGGGGGAGGGGAGTCTATATTAATTGCATGCTTCTTTATATTTGAAATATTGTTATTGCTTCAAGTTTCAAGTAAAAATGGAAAAAAATGGGGGGGGGGGGGATAAAAAACCAAAAGGATAAAAAATAGAAGAGAGAAAAAATGAACAAGGACTTCTGATTTTCCCACCTGTCAGTTACATAAAAGAAATTATTCAAAGTATTCACTCTAGTATGACACCTGCTAAAAAACTCGACACCCCCACTTACAACCTGTAGTGGGCACAGCCCATTCTCAGTTGCCAACTGGCTGCATGCATGGGCAACGGGCCCCAATTCAGCAAGTTCTGCCAACCTGGGTCCCAATTCTGGGTCAGCGACCACCTGCAGGTTCTCCAACGAGGAGCCGTCGTTCATGTGAACAAACAGAACGTCTTTCTGGGAGCGGACAGAACGGACCCAACCCTGGAAGCAGATAAGAGAGAGAGGAGAAGCTTGAATCAGACATTTCTTCAGCCTTCCTGTCAAGTCAGCGAAGAAGGACCAATGAAATACCGTGAAAATCCCTGAAACAAGAAGCAATCGACCATAAATATTATCTTGTGGAAATCAACTAAAAATCAAAAAGCTTAAGGAATTAAAATTAGAAAAACCTAAAACAGAACAAAGCCTTAATGGGATCCTGGCTACAAACCTCGTTTCACTGAACTATTCCGTTTCCTCAGAAGGAAATAGAAAAATCATAAACTTTAAATGACCAAAACTCTATTTTAGGTTTTTCTAATTTTTTCCCCTTAAGCTTTTTGAACGCTTTATTATGAGGTCATGGACACAGCCTAGGCATGCAAGAACACACCAAAAAGAGCATGGCTGGAAAGGGGTGTGGCCTAGGGAGAGAGGGCGCGGTCTGGGGAGACTCCCAAGGGCCACACAGAGAAACCCGGAGGGCCGCATTGGACAGCATGCATAGGGCCGGATTTAGGTTTGATGAGGCCCTAAGCTACTGAAGGTAATGGGGCCCTTTATATGTCCAGCTGTCCTTTGTCAACAACAAATTGCCGCCGCTTTTTGTGCTGAATATATGCTATATGGTATTTATGGACCTAATAGGTATCTAAAGCCATTTGCACATAACCGTCCATGTAGAATGTAGGCACCGTATATATAGAAATGATCAAACCAGTGATATTTTAGGGAGCAGGCTAGCAGGCGGGGCCCATGACTTACATCATAGGAGCCTACACAACACAAAACACTATTGCTGTATGTAGGTTTTATGTTATTTGTTTTTTATCTTCTATTTTGGAAATGTACACCCAGTTTTTCCCCCTTTAATTTTTTGGGGGCCCCCCAAGAGATTGGGGCCCTAAGCTACAGCTTGTTTAGCTTATACATAAATCTGGCACTGAATATGCATAGTCCTGAGCTCCTCAGAGTAAGGACAGGGTAAATGTATGGTTTTCCCAGTAGTGATGTATGGAAGTGAGAGCTGGACCGTAAAGAAGGCTGATCGCCGAAGAATTGATGCTTTTGAATTATGGTGCTGGAGGAGACTCTTGAGAGTCCCATGGACTGCAAGAAGATCAAACCTCTCCATTCTTAAGGAAATCAGCCCTGAGTGCTCACTGGAAGGACAGATCCTGAAGCTGAGGCTCCAAGACTTTGGCCACCTCATGAGAAGAGAAGACTCCCTGGAAAAGACCCTGATGTTGGGAAAGATGGAGGGCACAAGGAGAAGGGGACGACGGAGGACGAGATGGTTGGACAGTGTTCTCAAAGCTACAAACATGAGTTTGACCAAACTGCGGGAGGCAGTGGAAGACAGGAGTGCCTGGCGTGCTCTGGTCCATGGGGTCACAAAGAGTTGGACACGACTAAACAACAACAACAACAAAAATGTGTGGCAAGATACAAAACAAGCCTCCAAACTACCCCTCTCCCTTGCTTGCCTTACCCACCTGGACTTTAATGTCCTGCCCTGATGGGTCTCGGATTTCCAGCGCTTCTCGAACTCGGAGCAGTTTGGCAGTTGCCGCATGCTTGGGGCAGGGAGCAGAGGAACAGCGGCGGAGAACCAGGCGCACACAACGCGCCCCAAACATCTTCGCTCAGCTCCTTCTTTCAACTGCTTGCAACCCTGCAAAAAAACAAAACAAAACCCAAAAGGCCCAAGACCCCTTTGGTTACTCAGTTGTGCAGAGGGGGAAAAGGTCTTCTGATATGACCCAACACTGTGATGAACTCAGCTAGGAACTCTGCCTATTGTGAACGTAACAGCTATTCAGAACCAAAGACCCTGGCGAGGTTACCAGCAAGACATTACAGGTGAAACATTTATCAGAGAGTGGGACATATATAGTGTCTATGTACAGTGGTGCCTCGCAAGACGAAAAGAATCCGTTCCGCGAGTCTCTTCGTCTTGCGGTTTTTTCCGTCTTGCAAAGCAAGCCCATTAGCGGCTTAGCGGATTAGCGCTATTAGCGGCTTAGCGGATCAGCTGTTAAGCGGCTTAGCGGATCAGCTGTTAAGCGGCTTAGCGGATCAGCTGTTAAGCGGCTTAGCGGCTTAGGATCAGCTGATAAGCGGCTTAGCGGCTTGGGAAAAAGGGGGGGGGGAGGAAAAAAACCCCGCAGGAACTCGCAAGACATTTTCGTCTTGCGAAGCAAGCCCATAGGAAATTCGTTTTGCGAAGCACCTCCAAAACGGAAAACCCTTTCGTCTAGCGGGTTTTCCGTCTTGCGAGGCATTCGTCTTGCGGGGCACCACTGTAAAAGAACATTGTCAAAAGATCAATCCATCGGCAGGTATTGACTTAGCTTCGGCGTGCAAATAGGGTAATTTTATTAAATAAAATGGATAGTAAGTTAAATAATACTGAGAAAGTAAAGTTTAAGCACGTGTTTAGGGAATTCAATTTGGGAACGCAAGGGGGAGATCGGAAGTCTCGCAAAATTTAATTAGAAATGGGTATACAAAGCAAGTACGAATAATTGTTTATTTTTTATTTTGTCTATAACAACTATCGTGCATTTTTGTTATAAAGTTTTAAATCAATAAAGCATATACAGTGGTACCTCGGGTTACATACGCTTCAGGTTACATGCGCTTCAGGTTACAGACTCCGCTAACCCAGAAATAGTGCTTCAGGTTAAGAACTTTGCTTCAGGATGAGAACAGAAATCGTGCTCCAGCGGCGTGGCGGTAGTGGGAGGCCCCATTAGCTAAAGTGGTGCTTCAGGTTAAGAACAGTTTCAGGTTAAGAACGGACCTCCAGAATTAATTAAGTACTTAACCCGAGATACCACTGTAACAAAAAAAAAAGAATAAAAAAGAACCAAAGACCCTTTAATTCATGCAGACCTTAATAAAGTGATTTTTGTGATTTTAACTCCTGCCTCTTGCAATTTTATCTATCTATCTATCTATCTATCTATATATATGCTTCAAGCTACCCTGAGTGGTGCATTTATATCTAGGTAGATCTTGTCTTATGCATGGGGTACGTTCCTGGCTATTGTGCACACAAGCAAAATTGCTTAAAGCCAGAAAAACCCCTTAGAATATTGCAAACATCCCAGATGTATAACAAAAGGCAGCTGCATAATAACATGGATCATTCCCAAAATATAATTATACTTCAGCCTCTTCCATGTGTACCATAAGTATGCATACAGGCAGTGAGAGGTGCAAGCTTGCCTTGGCCAGGTAATCTCATTTATATCGGATCGAATTGAGGCCAACAAGCTCATCTCCTCACCAACACAAAGAAGCCTTTCTCTTTTCTGATCTTTCACATTTGTAAGCATGGAAAATTCCTTTTCCCCCATCACTAAACCCTCCAGATTTCCCGCTGCAGACTTTCAAATCCATTATTCCGAACCTCCCCTCTCCCCAAAATGCTCTTTAGGAGGCCTAGCAAACTGCCTTAGGCAGAGCTTAGCCATTGGTCCACCTACCTCCATAGTGCCTGCACTGACTGGCAGCCGCTCTCCAGGCTTTCAGCCTGGGTTTGCCCCCGGCCGCCCTACCTGGCTATTGCACCATGGGACTTCTGCATGCAAAGCAGGTACCCTGGCGCCGAGTTGCATGCGGCCCTTTGCAAAACGCCTTAGGTAGAGCCTTGCCATTAACCCCCCCCATCTCAATAGTGCATGCACTGGCTGGCAGCATTCTCCGGGGTTTTAGGAAGGAAGACTTTCCCAGCTCTGCCTGGGGTTGATGGAGATTGCACGGGGGGGCCTTCTGCACGCATGGCAGCTGCCCCACGGAGTTGCAGCCCTTCTACCCACTCAGTTGCCCCAGCCCCCTTTGCACAGCCCTCCCCAATCTCACCTCCTCTGCTCCTTTCCCCAGCTTGCTCCCAATTCTCCCCGATGCACGCAGACCAATCGGCTGCAAAGCATGCAAAAAACTCATGCAATGCGCCCCCGCGTCTTCCCCTGATCTCCCCCTTCCTCCAGAAGGGTCGCCTGGCAGCCAATGGAGGCTGCCGGTTTGCAAAAGCTCAGCCCATCAGAGATAGGGAACTCTTTGCGGAAGTTGCCCCTTGGTCTCTAGCTCTCTCCAGCGCAATGCATGACGGGAGCTGTAGTTCCAGGAGCTCAGAGCGCCCGCTTTCCTTTTCACTGGGAGCAGAGTTTCTTTTGGGGGGATGCCACGTGGGAATGGGGACGGCGCCCGCGGCAGAGCTAGGACAGCCGCATTAAGCACGTCGAAAGCATTTTAAGCACGCTTCCCCCCGCAGAAATAATTTTGATTACAGTTTCTTGAATTACGAAAGAATGTGCAATCTCTCCGCCCCCCGATCCTAGAGTCTCTTAGTTGCGTTCAATGTAAAACGATGTTGTATTTAGTATAGGGTTGGAGAGGGGGGGATGAAATGGTGCGTGGTAAACTTAACACACTATTTCTCGTTTTTCCAGCTTGGTAGATGGGGAGAAAAAAGCTTGGTACAGCTGCTTTTGCCAGATTGATTTTGTGTTGTACTCGCACTGCAAATATATGTTTTGTGTGTGTGAAGGTTTAATTCAAAAGTTTACTTGCAGAACTTTCTTAAAACATGAAATATACTCCGAGTCGAGAGTGGATTTCATGCTCTTCATTCAGCTCATAGTGGTGAGGAGGAATGGAAGTTCCCCCAGGATGTCTGCTTTATATATATTATTTACACAGTGGGCCCCACGTGATTGGCTAATTCCGGGATTCACCTTGTAGGCCAATCTGGTTGCGAATTCACTTCCACCTGAAGCTGGATTGGGTGGCTCCTGTGGACCATCCAGACTGCTGCATTCTGAATCCTATTGTTCTAGGACCTATCAGACTGCTGCCTTTTGGATCCTATTCAACTCAGTACATAACAAAACATAACCAAAAAAATGGTAAAGGATACAGTTCTATATCTTATGCATATCCAGTACAGGCTGAGCATCTTCTTAGAAATAACATAAACTTATAATTTAGGGTGTCAAAAAGTAAAAGCCAGGACACCCCAAAAGTTGAGGTTTTTTTTTAAACAAATACACCGAAAAACTGAATTTTCGGTTGACTTCTCTAAGATCCAGGACAAAGCATCGCCTTTCGGAAATTCCCCCAGATGTCAATTCCGCCTTTGAAATCCAAGTAATGCCCAGGAAAACCTGATAGTATGGCAGCCCTATGTAATCAGATCTGACAAACGTAGCTCTTTCTCACACAGAGACTTCTTTGCCTGCACCCCAGTCTCCTTTTCTGCTGGAGCTGTTTCCTCTCCCTTGAAGAGAAATTTTGCAGGTGTTTACTCCATAGAGCAGGGGTCAGCAAACTTTTTCAGCAGGGGGCCGGTCCACTGTCCCTCAGACCTTGTGGGGGGCTGGATTATATGGGGTGGGGATGAACAAATTGTTATGCCCCACAAATAACCCAGAGATGCATTTTAAATAAAAGGACACATTCTACTCATTTAAAAACACACTGGTTCCCAGACCGCCTACGGGCCGGATTTAGAAGGCTATCGGGCCAGATCCGGCCCCCGGGCCTTAGTTTGCCTACCCATGCCATAGAGTCTGTAAGCACAACAAAACCAGCCATCACCCCTCCAAGATGGTGAATGTGCAATTCAATATCTTAATCAGCCAATCTAAGGTTACTTGTTATGTACTGAAGTTCTCACCCTGGGCCAGCAGGGGGATACTGTAGATAGTTTTCACTCAGGTCCACATATGCAAATAAGGGATTGAAAGTGACGTTCAGTGATTGGATAGTTACAGAAAGATTGTTACTGTTGCGTTGTAGTGGAGCTTTATATAAGCAGGCTGGCTGAACCCTTCAGTTCAGTTCTGTTCTGGCCTGTGAATAAATAAGAGCTGTTTGAAGAATCGCTGTGTCTTCTGATATGTTCACCCACAACTTAACATGACTCATCACTTGTTAGCTGCTAAAGAACAACAGTCAGTTAATTATCGACCAGTCAAAGCCCAGAGAGAGCTCTTTTTTAGCTTCAGTGGAATCTCCCCATGTTTAACCCTTTACACCAGGACACAGGTGTTCCCATTTCAGTGTGAATTAAACCAATTATACTTAACATGATCTTCACCTGGTCAGCTAGTAAACTGGGCTGTGTTTACTTGCCCGCATCTATTTCCTGGAGGGCACTTTCCAGTGTTCGTGATGCCTCAGAGCCCGCCATGTCTGTGAAGAAGAGAGAACCTTTGGTTCTGGTGATGTGTTGACTTCCTCTGGCTCCCATGAACTATCAGCTGCTCCTTTGACATCCTCTGGTGTCCTGTGAGTACCTCCTAAGTACCCAACCTCCCCTTCTCCATCTTCAGCTTGTCCCAGTGTTTACCAGTTGTGGCTACAACCCTCCCAGGAATCCTTTCCCCCTTCCATGGCATCCCGTCGGTTAATGACAAGTCTTCTTCTTTCTCGTAGCCAAGTAAGATTGTCTTCCATGAATGTGGTCTTAATGGTGTGTCCATAAGTGACTGTGGAGGCCAATTCTGGATCCATACGTCCTTCCACAGTGGGGACATAGGTTTCCGGGCGGGAGTTGAAGACAGTGAGGGCTTCCCAAGTGTGCCTTCCTCTTGGCACATTTCTCCCTTGCGTCCTGAGTTCGAGCATCTTCAAAGCCCATGACACCTTTGATAAAGGCTGTTCTCCAACTGGAGCGCTCACAGGCCAGTGTTTCCCACTTGTCGGTGTTTATACTACAGTTTTTTAGATTTGCCTTCAGACAGTCTTTAAACCTCTTTTGTTGACCACCAGCATTACGTTTTCCATTTTTATGTTTGGAGTAGAATAGTTGCTTTGCAAGACGATGATCAGGCATCCGCACAACATGACCAGTCCAACAAAGTTGATGTTGATGAATCATTGCTTCAACACTGGTGATATTTGCTTCTTCCAGTACACTGGCATTAGTTCGCATGTCTTCCCAAGTGATGTGTAAAATTTTTTGGAGACACCGTTGATGGAATCTTTCGAGGAGTTGGAGATGGCATTTATAAGTGGTCCATGTTTTACAAGCATACAGTAAGGCTGGTAGTACAATAGCTTCGTAAACAAGCATTTTGGTTTCCCTGTGAATGTCCCAGTCCTCAAACATGACAAGTGTTGGGGTTGTGATTCTGGGGCAATTTTGGAGCATTTAGACACCAGGCTATCTCTAAAAACCACAGAAGTTTCTGTGAATTAACTCCTAAGGCTCATAGTTGAAGTTCGTGTGCTGTTTTGTACAGAAATATTTCCCGGCACAGTATATCTAGATATAGACAGATATAATACAATCTGAGAAGGCCTGGCTCAGTCACAACGGTAAAGGTGGACATCCCAAGGTTGGTGGGCCATGTGACATGGATGCTTTAGTTGAGATTCCTGCATTGCAGGGGGTTGGACTAGATCACCCTTGGGTTCCTTCCAACTCTCCAATTCTATGATTACATGAGAGACAGGACTTCTTGTGGCGATCACACAGGGTCCCCGGACGTTTCACCGTCTATGGATCCCTGTGCCACCACTTTATTTCTCGCTGCCACCACCCAGGCACTGCCTGGTAAAATACTGAGTCCAGTCAGGGTTAAATTGAAACATAAACTTCTGTTTATTTATTGCAGTTTAACAAGCGTGTGGTTTCAGAAACGGTATCGGTCAATTACAATCATGGGGTGCCTATCCGGACCTATAACTTCCGCTACCTGCTCTCACTCACTAAACCACCTCTCAGATATTTACTTGTCTTCCTAGCTCCTAACTGTTCCTGACTCAGCTTATTTCGCTACACTAACTCAACCTACCCAAAGACTCTATCCCAATTCACTCCCACTCCACCCAACTCCCAACAAACTCTTCCCTTCGCCCCTCCCAGAGCTGGTTTTATAGTCCCTCTGACTCCACCCCCTGGGTTCTGATTGGGTAACCTGTTTAACTATTTCACCTCCAGCACTCTCATATGTTAACGTCACACTTCTGAACAACGTTGCTCTCTGAAAGCGAGAAGTTAACTTCTGAATGTCAAAAGATGCCAGCTTGAAAGGCACGTTTGGCTGTGAAGCAGATGGTTAAAATGTACATAGATATGAATTAGCCCGCTAATCAAAACCAACCGTTTGTGTATTTTGGAAGGGGGAACTGAGTATTTAGAAGCAGAGCAGGTTGATCCATAAGCTACTTAGTGCAAACTTGTTTACAATTTGCTGCTAATCCCGTCCTGTGTGGGACTTCATTAACACCGTATCTGGTCAACTGATAATCCAACTTTGTTTCAATAGTGGATTTTCCAACCCCAACGAAAGGGAGATTAACCCAATGACTTTTCAAAAATTGAATTTGTTTGTTCTTCAGCCCAGTAGGCATTGTTCTCTATCAATTTATCTATTATTATTTGCAGGTGGTGGGTGAGTATGTGCCGGGTGCTGACAAGAAACTCAAAGAAACCCAAACTTGCCTCAGGATCTTGAGAACAATAATGCAAAATTTGGTTATAATATCTTAAAGTGTGTCCAAATGCCTCGGGAGCAAATATTGAGTAGAGAGCAGAAAGTGCCGGGTGTTCCTCGGTAATTCTAAGAAACCAGTAAAATTAGTGCCATCTTGGAATCAGTTGTTAAAATCCATGCAATTGTGAAACGTTCAGTCTCTCGTCTTAATTCAAAATGGCATCGAACTGTATTCAAACAGAGATAGAATCCTGCTCCTTGATGTCAGGAAACTGCCATACAAAATCTGCTTATGATACTGAAATATACTCGGAGTCGAGAGTGGATTTCATGCTCTTTATTCAGCTCATAGTGGTGAGGAGGAATGGAAGTTCCCCCAGAATGTCTGCTTTATATATATTATTTGCACAATGGGCCCCATGTGATTGGCTAATTCCAGGATTCGCCTGTAGGCCAATCAGGTTGCGGATTCACTTCCACCTGGAGCTGGATTGGGTGGCTCCTGTGGACCAATCAGACTGCTGCATTCTAGACCCTATTGTTCTAGGACCAACCAGACTGCTGCCTTTTGGACCCTATTCAACTCAGTACATAAGAAATACCTTACATTGATTAAAATCAGTGCCTTTACCCCTCACAGAGCTATTTTTCAGTTTATTGCATTACATTTTCCCTCAGTCTTTTTTACTCCAATGAGCACAAGGTGATTTG